TTTTTTTTTTTTTTACAAAATGGGATTTTGGAAAGGTACAAGATGCACGCAATAAAAACAAGCTTCCAGTATAAGAAACCTCGCAATAAAAGGTCTTCAAATCAGGCCTGGTCTGAGTCCAGTCAGACTGTTGAGGCGATAGCGGTTATAGTAGGGGTCGTCAAACCCGTACCGACTGTCATAGCGGTTGTAGTCGTAGTTGTATTCATCCTGGTGGGGGATCCCAAAGGCATGGAGGATCCTGTGGACCACACTGCCCTGGTAGCCGCCATAGTGGCCTCGGTAGTCACCAGTGTAGCGGCCGTAGGGGGCATAGGAGCCATATTGTGGAGCAGACAGGGCCATTGCCAAAATGGACGCCAGTATCGTTTGCTTTTTTTTTTAATCCAAGAGAAAGAATAAAATATGCAATCAACTTTGACTTGAAGGAAAAAACTTTGAAAAATGCCTCACTTCAACAAACAAAAATTTGGGTAGCATTGCAGTACTGAATAATTTCATGTAAAAAGAAAAAAAATGTACTGAAATGCAAATGTACTGAAATACTCCTTTTACCCTAATACAATTTATACATCTACATAAAACCAGGAAGTTTTTTTTGCCCAGTTCCTCTTACTTATTGCCATTCATATATTCTGATGAATCAAATTTATCTTCTAGTTAAAAAAGAAAAATGTGCAAGAAACAATACTGTACTGTAAATCATCACTCAACTGTCGAATTAAAGTAAAAATAGATGCTGGAAGTAATTTTTCTCAGAAATTTGTAGATGAGTGGTCGGAAAATGAGAAATTGTACAGTCGCATTTTTCTCTTTATTTTTAAATCACACAGACATGCTTTATATAACAAGACCCTTTTTAGTTTTTTTTCTGCTTTGGTCGAATATCATCAAATTTATAGTTTTCCAAAAATAAAGCGAATAATTTTGCAATAAAGTATTTATATTTGCATCTATAGAATGGCAGTGATAACCATGTTTTTCAACATGAGGCTAAATCATTCAGGTAATGGAAGGGAAATTTTTACATTTTTCAATGGTCTCAAAAGCCATTACATTTTTAGTACCTTTTATTCATGTTTTCCTCCTAATTTTTTAGTGGTCATTGCTTCAGAAAATTCATCAGTATCGGATTACCACATGCTAAAAAGGACAGATGCTCCAAATTTTGGCGTCAATAAATATACACTTGGACTCGCTCTACAACGAAACGCACGGGACCAGGAAAAAATGTGTTGAAGAGAGAATTTCGCTATTATAGAGAAACCGCAATAAAAGGGGGAAAGAATCCTATGGGACCATAAAAAATACGCTATACTGTACCTAGGAAATTTTTAAGAGAAAAGATCGTTGTAGAGAGAGTCCCCCTGTATAATGATTGAAACATTTGCGATATGGACTGAAAACACCAGCAGACGCAACCTTCGACATTAAATTATGTAATGACAGGTCCAACATTTCTTCAGTAATTTTCTCACCAGCATCAATGTCTTCATTTTCCCCCCTTGTTCTTAATTGACTCGAAGTCAAAACAGCAACAATTTCTGCACTTGCTTATTATTCCCGCTTTTCTCGACCCCGGAAAACTGTCTCACAAACATCTCAGTTGAGTTGAAGCTGAGCACTGAGCTTCAACGTGACATTATACAGGAGACTATGTTCCGAATAGGGCAAGGACGATTCCCTATTGTCCCCACCAGGCTGTCCAAACTTTCATTCACTTCCCTCCAGTAAATTTATCTCGCATTATATTGGGAGAATCCACTTCTTCCTCAAACCGTTTTTATTTTATTTTTCTGTTCCCTCCTGAAAAATAAACAGCGTTGCCGACTGTTGGGCACAAAAAATCGCTGCCGTGGACCCAAAAATAAAAATAAATTGAGCAATTTTGTAAAAATGGGATACAGACCGACAATTTGAAACAGGGCCAATTTGAGACAGGGCCACTTCAAGACAGGGACAATTTGAGACAGGGAAAATTTGAGACAGGGACAATTTGAGACAGGGACAATTTGAGACAGGGACATTTTGAGACAGGGACAATTTGAGACAGGGACAATTTGAGGCAGGGCCAATTTCAGACAGGGACAATTTGAGACTGGAACAAATTGAGACAAAACCTATCTTAATGACAAGAGGAATCTGCTTAGGTTGATCGAAAGATTTGAGATTTTCTTTCAGGGACAATTTGAGACAGGGACAATTTGAGACAGGGACAATTTGAGACAGGGACAATTTGAGACAGGGACAATTTGAGACAGGGACAATTTGAGACAGGGGCAATTTGAGACAGGGACAATTTGAGACAGCCTCAAAACAACTGCAGATTCCCATTGAATAGCTTTTCATGGAACTAATTTGAAGTGCTAATTATTAAGTAACTCATGAGGTGCTGTTTCTTGTCACTCTTCCTGATGAATGCTGGTTTTATGCTGAAATTTTTGGCATTCACTGTCCACATGTTGAGTCATTGTCCACAAATTGGGCCTCTCTTTCTATTTTTTTCTGGACAAATAAGTGTTCCTACGCTGAATTATCTTATGTGAAACAAAATTGGAAGAACTTTTCAGCAAACAGTGCAATATTTGTTCATTTTCAGAACTTGAAGAAGTTAGGGAGAAACTCAGTCAAGTCATTTTGCCTCAAGCAGTCTTCATCTCAAAATGTCTCAATTTTCTCATGTCTCAGAAAGTTTCAGCCTCAACTTTCAATTTGTCCCTATCACAAAGGTTTATGTCTCAAATTGTCCCTGTCTCCAAAAGTATTGCCTCAAATTGGCCTTGTCTCAATTTGTCTGTCTCAATTTATTCAACATCTGCAAATCAAAGAAGAGTGATGAGATAAAATATTGTCTCTCTCTATTCTCTTCCAACGTGATTTCAAAAGGAAAACAATTTTTAAATTTTTGAAGTAGGAATTTTTGAAAATTGTGTACAAGATTATTCCTGTTCTTTCCATTTTTCCAGCCTCAACAAACCTTTGGATTTTTATCCCATTTTGGTTGCACAATTATTGAACACTGTTATTTTAATTTTTCGTTTCTGCAACAACAATAACAAAAAAAGCATTTTGTGCAGCGTTCGTCATAAAATCGTGATTCGAGATAACGAACGCAGGAGAAAGAAAGGGAAAAGTTTCGATTCTTCGGTCCCCCACAATAGAAGTAAGTTTTATGGTATTTCACAGTTGAAAAAATATATATCTTGGGTTTTAACTTTCTGGTCGGGAACTTCCGATTTTTTCCCCCTTTATGCGGGTGAGGTTGAGTTCATCATTCGAGAAACGCGATTTCAAATTTTATCGGCGGCAATTTCTTCCAGGAAATTCATTTTTCTCGGTTTTCTGAAAGTGGAAATGCATTTCTCGATTCCTCAAAACTTGTTTTGGGGCAAACTCTTCCTTTCTGACTTTTACTTTCGTGGGGATGTTGCTCATCATCAATTGTGTGGAGAATTGCAATGAAGCTGAGTGTACATATATATTTTTGCAGAAATAGTTCCTCGCAATTTTCAGGTCAGTGTATTTCAAATATTTACAATGAAAAAGGCTAGTTAGAAGCAGAAGCTCAGATTGCTTATTTTTTCGCATAAAATGCGAGGAAATCGATTCATCCGGCACGAAAGATATAAAAATGATTTATGAATCGGTTTCGATTTGATTATTTTTTCGAAGTCTTTTGGGATTTGGGTCTAAAAAAATGCATCATTTAATGAACATGGAAACAGAGGTTTTCAATATTCCAACCATCTGCATGAAAAATGTCTTCCTTGCTTAGAAAGTAAATTTCTAATGCAATATGCAATAGATTTTTTGAACGTTCCATATCATAGATGGCGCCATCTGCCATTTGAAATAATGGGGAATTATTTTCAGGGAGATTTTTGAAGGAGAATAAATATTGACTGATGAGTGGTTGAAACCGAAGTTCTGCGCTTTTATAATAATTTTTTGTACGAGTTTCTCGTTATTGTGACAAAATAGTATTATGAAATTTCTGAAGGATAAGCGTAAGAAAGATTTCTGCCATTTTTGGTACTGATGTAATTCCGTTTTGCTTTATTCATTTTTTTTAGCACGAAATAATGACGAACTGCTGAAGGTAGGCTGAGAAAATGTTTGGCATAAATTCCCCGCCTCGTCGCGATTTTTTTTGGCAACTCTGGGGGAAAAAGTTCAAACCCTGAGGAAGTTGTTCCTTTTCTTTCCCTCGTTCCTGCGAAATTTGCAAATCTAATCTTTGTTGGCAGACGAGGGTAACATCCGTTGTTATGACTCTCATGCTGGGAATATGTAGATCAAGCCCTGAAAAAAACTGAGTTTTTTTTTGTGCGAAAAAGAAGGGCGGAATCATGAGAGGAAAACTCCGCCAATTTTATGTTGCCGGTACTGGTTTTTCTTCTTTTATTATCAAGAGAGGGCAAAAATGGGGTGAGTTGTGCCAAAAAAAAAATAGCGCTGGTTTCGACGAGATAAACTAACTCCCTTGCATACCATTGAATCTTGTTTGCATTCTCAGCAATTCCAGGGAAATTGCTCCTGCATCAACTGACCTCATTCTTTTTTCTTTTTTTGTTTTTTACAACGTGCATTTTTTGTACATTTGCCAAGGGTTCAAGTACTTTTGGAACCTCCATCATGCTTTGGATCCCACGATTTTTATTGAGAGTTCTTTACAAGTTTGGCAAAGGCTGGGGAAAAATTGGTGGAAGTCTTTGATTTTTTTTCTGACCTTGCTGTATGAGGTTGCAAAGTTATTTCAAAGTTTTCTGTGTATTGATTGTTTTGTCAGAAAGTATTCTTAAATGGTGGGGATTATTCAACAAGTTTTTAGGAAATAATGAAAGATTGAATCAACCAGGCTGCAGCTGGGGAAACCCCTTATCATAATGTATATATCCAAAATCTTAAGAGGACCAAAATAAACTGTAAAATATTACAGATTTTAAGCTGCATTAAAAACATTCAAGATGCAAGAGACATCTGAGTGCTGAGGCAGTTATATCCAGCCTCCTAGGGAATTTAATTTTAAAGGTGCAAGAATACATTCTGACTGCAAAAATAAGGGAAGCTGGAGCATCCTCACTCCTTGGAAGTTAAAAAAAGGACTTCATTGTTGTCTCTGATAACAGGCTTCATAAAGACAAAAAACACACACACAATTAGCAAATAAAATCTTGCATTGTGCAGTAAGAACTTGCTTCCAAAAGGAAATAAAAATCATCAAAGAAAACATGCTTTGCCCATGGCCCAATTCCTGACCCACAAACTTCCAAAAAAATAACTCCACAAATTTTAAACTCAGAAACTTCTGCAACATTTAAAATTGAAGCTGAAGACGTTCTACAACTTTTCTTTAATCATATAAAAATTCACCTGATTGACAGATCTTGAGATTTTCTCCCTTTTCTAAACCTAACTTTTCTTTGGTGATAAGAATCTGGAAAACCTTTGTGCCAGATTCTTATCTCAATGATGCACAAGCTTTTGGTGCAAACAGTGACTTCAACAGCGTTGTTCCTAATGTATATGAATTAATTCATTTCTGCAATAGTTTACCTTGTATGATTTCTCATCAAAGATTCTCTCCAAATTGTTTAATCAACCGAACCTTATCTGGGAGCAGACCAAACAACTTGTGCTTTACTTTGGGTTCATGAATTGCCATATGCTGCAAGTTTGGGTACTTTCCTGTTATCTCAGTACCTCATTCCTAGACCACACTACCATCCAGACAAATCTTTTGGACAACTTCATAATCACGACAACCTACCTTTTGGGTTCATGAATTGCCATATGCTGCAAGTTTGGGTACTTTCCTGTTATCTCAGTACCTCATTCCTAGACCACACTACCATCCAGACAAATCTTTTGGACAACTTCATAATCACGAAAACCTACCAGAAACTGAATTTTAATTTTCTGCATTCTGCTCAAACTGATTTTGGGAGGCAGTTAGGTTAGGTCAGGTTATGTTACTTGAAAGATATTTGTAACTAACATAACTGATTTTGGGAGGCGGGTAGGTAAATGGTAGGTTGTCGTGATTATGAAGTTGTCCAAAAGATTTGGCTGGATGGTAGTGTGGTCTAGGAATGAGGTACTGAGATAACAGGAAAGTACCCAAACTTGCAGCATATGGCAATTCATGAACCCAAATTTCTTGGACTGTTTCAGCTGAGGTTGTGAATTTTTGCATATACTGTATAATGGAATGCAGTATAATATTTGATTTGTTTCTTTGTGTCATCTTTTTTTTCAATACATTTGCAGTACTGTATTTTGAAAATTTATTTCCAAACCTGGTCTGCATCTATTCCACAAAAACGGGCACACTTTTGGCAGTGGATTTTTGGCATTTTTATGAAAACCAGAGCATTTTTGACACTATTTCATTCAATGTGTACAAACACACGCCAATTATTATTTTTTCAAGTAGATGTAGCTTTTTGAATCCCAGCTTTCTTTTCCTCCTGAAACGTGGGTTTATTTCTCTGGCAAAAAAAAAAATAAGGATAAAATATGCCATGGAATGTGGATATTTTTACAGGTTCCTCTCGGCTCATCTGTGGAGAAGATGAAAAGGCGAGGACATGTGGAGGGGAACAGGGATGAAAGAGGGGAAGTGTAAATCTTTTTCCATTTCCCTCAGGAAGTACGTTCACCAGCTGCAGCTGAGGCAGCGGATTTTTCATCGGTGCATCCGAGCATAAATCACGCTACAGGAAACCGGTTTCTCACCTAGTTCTCAGAAAAGTTTCCACTGTCTTTTTTATGCTTATGTTTTTTTTTAATTTTATCCTTGATTTTTATATAAACAACACGTTTTTTTCTCTCTCTATTTATTTCTTCTCTTGCTATATTCCAGAGAGAGAGAGACGAAACTCGTAAACTAAGATTATTCCTGGGTCTTCAAAATTGTTCCTCTTGATTCATTCCCAAGTACTGTACTGTAAGTGAACAGTACTCAAATTTTGGACTGACATTTTTTTTTATCCGGGATAGAGATGATGAAAAAATCCGGATCTTTCGCCTCGTCGAACCCGCGGGGTTTCACTTGTCTTCGAAAAATTGAGGAGGAAAATTTGGTTCCTGTGATTCACCAGGGAAATTATTTGGCAGAATTTTTTTTTTTCAGGAAAAAAAAGAAAAAGATTCGCCTGCAACACAGAATTTCTGATTCCTTTTAAGTGTGAAATAATAGCTTGATGAATGAATGAATGAATGAACAGAACACTTTATTTGCAGCTTTTCAGAGTTCACAAGGTTCAATCAAGTATGACTTCAATCAATGATGGTTCAATAAATGGCGAAAAATTCCTTATAGACAAATGCTTTAAGAAGGAAGTCATCCCTATGAGCCTAAATTTTTTTTTTTTTTCAAAAGATGCCATTCCGTGGAAAAACATCGACTGAGAAAATTATGATTACTACCCAGAGATTTTTTTTTCGGAGGAATTTTCAACGAAATCCTGCAGAAAAATTGAGATCGGGGGAATTATTTTTACAGCCTTTTCCTCCTGTGATTTCTCCAGAGAAATCTTTTCGTCACGATTGCGGTTTCCAAAGATCTGAACACGTCTAGCAAGAGGTATTTTTCTACCGAGACATTTCTGGGTGAAATGTGCAACAACAAAAAAATTGCAGGGGTGAAGTGATAATTTCCGGCGACGAACGCAGCTGCTGTTGATGGATAAAGGGATTAATGGCTCGTGAAAACGACATCCGCCGGAAACACAGCAGTCATCAACTTTCGCGATTCCTCAAATAATTTCTACGTTTTCATTTCTTGTTGTCCTCCAAATTGAGCATATACACATATACGTGCCTGATGCACATTCCTGATAAGAATTTATTTTAATTTTTGATAAAAACCGAGCATCTTGAATTTTCTGTGCGAATTACTGAGTGTTGCCAGACCAAAACATTACTGCGCACTGGAGAAGTCAGAAATATACCATACTCTTTGCAATTTCCGCCTGAAACATGCATGAAAGTTTTGTTCATTTCATGTAATTTCTGTTTTGAAAAAAAAATTCTTTCCTGCTACAAAACCATGAAACATGTTGAAACCTTGATGATTCAGAGTAGAATGCAAATGGCTTTGACTGACATCTACCCAAGCTGAATGTAATACCTTTGATTAAGGACAATCTAAGAAAGTCTTGCTGCATTTTAAATACAGGTGGTGCCCCTCAATTTGAACCTAATATATTGCTGGACTAAGGTCAAATTGCAAAGTAATGACAAGAACAATGTTTTCTACATCTCATTTGACATTTTTGTCCATCTCTGTGGGTCAAATTGCAGGTCCTAGGTTGAATTTAAAGTTTACCTTGCAGCAAATTTGACCATCAAATTGTGGGACAGTCAAATTTCAGGTCAAATTGCAAGGTGCCCCTTGTACAGTGAAACCCAGATTTAGTGCCATTGGTGGTTGTGACCTATTTTGTGGCACTAAGCAAGCGTGGCGCTAAATTGAGGGTATTGTATGAGAAAGAGGTCAAATTCAGGGTTTTATTAGAAAAAAGAGCCTTTTTACAGAACTTATAGGCATAAATCAGCATTTTTTAAGCCAGAAAAAGTCAAAATAAATAATTTGAAGCTCAAACGTGCAATATATAGATACTTCATTTCAAAGTATTTATCAAGGCAGAGTGTGAATTAGATTTATAAACATATGACATCTAGTAAAAGATCACAGCTGTTCCTCAAGATTTTGTGAACATTTCAGTTAGTTTCATATGAAGTGCCAACATGAGGGAATCACCAATGTTTCCATCAAAAGATTCCACTATTTTCTATTTTTAATGGAGGAGGGCATCATGCAACAAAAATATTTTTCAGTGATTTTAGATTTTAAAAGTGGATTGTTCACAATTATCCTGACATTTATGTGAGCATGGGAATGGGAGGCTCAGTTAAAAGTCATATAATCCAATGATGTCCTTGCAAAAATGCCTTGATTACTTCAATTCTGTCCAACATGGCAAAGATTTGTTGTGGCAGTTGCAAATTTTTCTGAGTCACTTCTGCAGAACCAAAATATTGAATTCAATCACCAGCTTTGAGCTGATGGAAAGTAATTTTTCTTGTCAAACGTTTCTCAAAAACAACCTAATCCTCAAAGAGAACACGCCAAACGGCATCTTTAGAAAACTAATGACCTTTAGTCCTTGAAATCCTCACAGTCCCTAAAAAACAGTAACTGCACCCCAATTGTCAGAAGCTGTAATCTAACCTTAAAATCTCTGTGGAAATTTCCACAAGAACCCCTTTTTTCCTGAGGAAAAGACTCAGGGATTTTCATCACTATCCTTCAAACCTTGGTACTGTGTGGAACTAGAAGTACTTGGTGAACTTGCTTGAAACTGATAACAAAACTTTTTGTGTGTGAATACAAATTTTTATAATAGGGTGTTCTCAAGCACGCCGGTTGCTGCCCAACCAATTCTTGTGTCCAAATTTACTTTTTCTTTTTCTGTACAAATCTTTACATCCAAATCTCTGTGACAGTGGCACTAAGTGAGTTGGCACTGAATCAATTTCACCTCTATAGACATAATGGAGGGAGATTTGTGCCAGGGACATTTGTGGCACTACAGTATATGCAAGGGTGGCACTAAATTGAGGGCTGACTGTATTGTATTTCAAGATTGTTTCACTCATTTGCAACATTTTGACCATAAGCCATCCAATTAATGCTTATAAAATGGCTGGAATTTGAACAAATATTGTAGTTTTGCAGGTCCGTTGGTGAATAATATATTTTATTCATCAGAGGCACTTTCATTTTCAAAGCCACAGTCACATTTTTACATAATTTGGTTCCCCAGCAGTGAAATGTTTCGACGGAGGTTTTAAGAATAAAAAAAAAGCATACTGTATTTTTATATCGTTTAGTTTTTGCGTTGAAATGTTATGACGATGGTTCGTAGAATTTCAAAATCCAAGATATGCATCTTGTACAGCAAGAACTGTTTCGAAGAAGATGTTAGTTGATGCATGCAAATGAAAAAAAAAATATGAAATGAGATTTCTTCTTCTGCTATGTGAAAAGAAACGGAACAAGTGGCAACCGAAGATGGATAGAGGTTCAGCCTGGCAAAAGCTCATTGTTCTGAGCCTTGTCACACCAGTTGCTCTTTCTTTTTTTTAATTCTGTTATGCGGCCGACCCCCTGTGGAGGTTCTGGGGGAAACAATGACCGAGTGTGGGGGGATTGTGACGGAATAATTCGTGCGACTCCATAAACTGCTAAAACGTCCCGCTGAGCCCAAGAATTATGAGGTTGAGTAGTGAGTGAGGGTTTATTCCTTTGATGGATCAGGGGCTTTGTTCAGGATACTTGGTGGGTATCCCTTGTGGGCAGGAAATGGAGTAAAACCTTGTAACAGAGAAGCCATTACAGCATGGAAAAAGCTTTATTATGCAGTGAAATCTTGTTACAATAATAAACTCCCAGGACATTATAAAAAAATTTATCTAATCAAGAATTCTTCTTTGGAGATTCATAGTTTCTAAGCAATTCTAGATTGGAATTTTGTGGGTTAATGAAAAATGTGTTGTGTGAAGATTCATGTTTTTAACCCTTGGAAAAAAGTGGGCTGAATTCCATCCTGCAGTAGTGCCATCAGGTAATTTTTGCACTCTTGTACATTTTTGTTTGTCCAAAGTTCACCAAAAACCACCTTTGGCTGAGTAGCCAAAGTCTAGAAAAATCCAGGAAAGTTAAACTCATTGTGTCTGAAATTTCTCAATACTAATCCTGCTAAAAAAATGTTTAAAAAATGCTACACAGCTTTGAAGCGTTTTTCTTTTGAACATTTTTTGCCTGGGAAGAACAAATTTCAGGATTTTTCCATACTTTAGCTCTTCTGGTCATACTGTTTTTTGTTTTTGTTCCTTGTGGCGCAAAATTTTGCAAATAAATCCTGGAACTGATGCCTGAGGGTTAACACATTTTAGACAAACATTGTTGAGAAATGGGTAATAAATACTGAAAAGTGTTCATAAAACAGGTAATTCAAGACCTGTCATACTTTCTAAGTATCTCTGAAGAAATTGTCGCGAATATTTCAAGGACCATATTAAATTTGACAAGCAAGCTTTGAGAGAACCCAAATTCCCAGTAACGTTCATCTTTCACTCAATCTGTGTGAGAATCTTGGAAGACCTTGGTTCTCACAAATGTTTTGCAGCCTCCAGGGCTGGATTTTATTACCAAGATCCTGTTGCTGTTTTTTGTCCTTGAAGGACAATCTTCTTGATTTCCAAAATTGGAAAATTTAACACAGTCCAACTCAAGCGTTTGTGTGTTGCAACTCCAAGATTTTTTGCAAAGTATTTTTTCTTGTTTTCTCAAAAGTATACCAACCTTAAAATAGGGTGATTTTCACCCCAGTTGCAGCCTGACCAAATCGTTGTGTTTCATTCCTCAAAACATTTCCTAAACTAATCTAAAATATAATTGAACCTTTCATTTGTTGGGATTTATTCCTGACAGAAATGAAGAGGACAAGTTAAGATTAAAATATACCGTGGTAAAAATTGGATAGTTGTTTTATGAACTCTGATTGCCATGATTTACTTATCTCAGCTTTTGCAAATTCAGAAAATCTTGTTGCAGTTGGTACCTCACAATTTGACCTCCCACAATTTTACTGTCCGTCAATTTTGAAGTCAAATTTGCAGTGAGGTTGACTTGCAATTCAACCTCTGCCCTAGAATTTGTCCTGCTTTGGCCACTTTTTTTGCATTTGTTTGCTCATACTTCTTTATTTTATGAAGTGTCCCATGCGGGAGTCATGCCTCACAATTCAACTGCTTTTCAATTCAACCCTAGTCAAGCAATGGATCAGGGTGAAAGTGTGAGGTGCCACCTGTACATCAGATCCATCAGGGCCAGGAAACAAATTTGGTAACACAAAATGTTTTATGAAGAAATTCAAATAAAAATATGGGTAGGAAGCCAGGATCTTGAAAACTACTACTGTTTGCTTCAAACAATGATATAATTTATTGATTTTTGGCCAGGAAATAAATTTGGTAACACAAAATGTTTTATGAAGAAATTCAAATAAAAATATGGGTAGGAAGCCAGGATCTTGAAAACTACTACTGTTTGCTTCAAACAATGATATAATTTATTGATTTTTTGATGCAATCCAGATCAAGTTGCATATTACATTATTTTGGGAAGAGACTTTTTCCAGGGGCATGTTTTTGCCTTGACTGTGATTCATGGGGTGATTCAGGATTATTGAAGGCTGTTTTCCCCTTGACTACCCAAGAAAAGGGACATTTTCCTGGATTTGTTTTACCTGTTTTCCATTGAATGCCTGATGTCGCGAAATTTATTAGAGTCGGAGGATGAGTTTGGCTGGCGCCAAACTCATCCTCCCGTTAATCTTGTGGGAACCCAAGGTCGCCGAAACTCTCAGCCTTCTCCTCAAGGAGACATTCCTCTATGACCCCCGAGGTCAATTCATTTCTGCCCTTTCTGTTTTATCTATGAAAGGGCATCTCTAAATGACCTTCTGTTAATCTCGTGGGAACCCGAGGTCGCCGAAACTCTCAGCCTTCTCCTCAAGGAGACATTCCTCTATGACCCCCGAGGTCAATTCATTTCTGCCCTTCCTGTTTTATCTATGAAAGGCCATCTCTAAATGACCTTCTGTAAAAGTTTTCTTGGTTACTAAATTGAATTCAAACCAGACATTCGAAGTGTGCAATTCGTGCTGACAACATCGGTTGTTGTGTTCTCAGCAATATTCTGCGGTATTTTTGGACTTGTGTTTTATTTGGAAGATTCGGACTTGTACTTTTTTCCATCTCTGAAATATACCAACATTAAACTAGGGTGTAATTCACCCCGGCCGCAGCTCGGCTGATCGAGGTGTTTTATTTCTACTGATTTATAAGTGAAATTCATATTCATTTCTCACAGCCCCATGAATCAACCTGCTTTGGCCACTTTTTGTGTTTTTCTTTACTTATATTTTTAAATTTCATGGAATGTCTTGCAATCCAATTGATTTGCAATTCAACCCTAGTTCAGCAATGGATTTGGGTCAAATTGTGAGGTACCACCTGTACTTTTATTCTCTGGTTTGGAATATTAGACAAACCCCATTTTAAGTCGTTCCTTGCTTATCTATATTTGCTTCCTAATCAAAATGGAAATACTTCTTTAAAAACCAGGGGGGAAAAAGGTGGAGAAAATTGTAGAATCTCTTCTAAAATGATTCAAATGAAGACCCAATTACGCAGTAATGGTCCGAGATTACTTTTTCTTGATGGACGAGAAAAAAGTAAAAGGGGTTTTTTTTTGGTTCCCCGGCCTCTTTTTCGGGGTCATGTACCGGTAGAGAGAAAATTCTAGTTTCCTAATCTGATTCCCCAAGGACAACTTTTCCCTCTGACTTTGCATTCTTTTTTCTTTCTTTTTTTCACTTTATTTCTAGAAAGAAAAGGATCAATCCATGATTCAGTATATTCGAATTCAAGGATTGAAAAAAAATAATCGAACTCGCGGCGTATAAAAAGCCTCATCATTTAGGGGAAACTGGTATCAATCGGTGGTTTCTGGTTAAACTCGTTACAAACTGAGAAATTGCATTGTGTTTTCCTGAGAGAAAAAAAAGGCAATCGAACGGAAAGCTTTTTTTTTTAATAATTTGAAAAAAATCAGAATTCATCAGTTTAAAAAATGAATCGATTCTTCTTGTGTACAGCAGCACATTTTGTCACTTTCGAAATTCTTCAAGTACTGTGAAAGATAGTCCTGTGGAAAGGTGTGCAAGATTTATAAAATTTCATTTTCAAACATGGGAAAATTTTGGTGTATTTACGAATAAGACTATAGATGGTTCTGTGCTTCGAAATTTACCCCATTTTCAAATTTTACAATTTTTCATTCATCCGTTACAAGAAAAAGGGGCTTAATCAGGTTCTGAAATATTTCATTGTGCAGCTTTCAAATGCATTTTCTCGTATTTTGTCAATCAGCATTTTTTCCTACTCAATTCGAAGCAATATGAATCTGTATATAATAATATTTTGAAATAAGGTCTGTGAGAAACTTTTCTAGTGATATTTTCTCGGAGAATTCGTCGTTTCACGCCTCAACAATTTTTCGTCAATCTGATCTAAAGTCTTTTTTTTAATATTTTTTATTTTTGCAGAGGTTAAAAAATATTCGGTGGTAACAATGGCGATGTCGAAGACCATTCTGATGTTGGCCCTTTCGTTTTTGTTCGCTCTGGTTTGTGGACAACGAAGTAATCCGGTACGTCGTGTGAAATACGTTCAGTTGGATTTCATTTTTTTTCATAAAATCAGTGAATTTTGCATTTGCTTGACAATTTTAATTGCTTATTTTCTTTTCAGCTCGTGGACAGATGCGGATGCGCGAAAATGTTGTACCAGCCTGAACGAGAAGCAAGAAGGGTGGCTATACTGAACGAATGTTTGACAGAACACGCCAAAGGAAAACAATTTCCTGGAGTCCGTGAGTCAGCATATATTATTTTGAAAAAAATTACATGCATACTGTATACTTTTTTGTATGATGAATGGTATGGTACATAATTTGTGAGACTCTGAAAATTCATGGAACTTTCTGATATCTATAATTATGTTAGTTCAGTGCAGTGATCAAGGAGGAATCAATGACCTCCTTCCAAAATACAATACAGTTAACCCCTGCAAAACTGACTTGATTTGTGCAACAGACCAGCAGTCTGATGTGTGGAAAGTCTGTTATGCAAATTCAATTATTAAAATTTGTTCCTTCCTACCATTAATTTTGAACCAACAGAAGTCTGTTATGAAGATTTAGTCCATTGTGAGGGAGGGAAAGTGCCTCCAGATAGGCAGTCCATTGTGCAAAAATTGGTTGCACAGGAGATCAATTGTGCAGGGGTCAACTGTATGTAATATTAAAGTGAGACCCCTGCATGCAGACACCTTGACCTGCAGACAATTTGACATAGGGACACTTATTTTCCCAGACAAAATTAATAAAAAAAGGCCTGACATGGGGACACTGACTCAACATAGGGACATTTTGTGATGAAGTTGCAAATAAATTTCATGCCAAATTACAAGAAACAGGTATTTCCAACCATAAAACTGATGTAAGAAAAGTTCTTTGGCATTTCTCTCACCAATTTACCATCCATTTAGCTAATTTTAAAAAATTACCTCCAGTATATAGCGGGACTTCTACATTTTTCCACTTAAGAAGTTATTTTTGTAGATGCCAACATTTCAATGTACAGTAAATAGGTACACTATTCAATGCTCCAAATGTTCTCATTGAGTTGAAAATGTATTCACTAATTCAAATTCTAGCGGCAAAAAATTTTTTTTAGGGAATTCTGAAGAATATTTCTTCCATAAAACACCAATTAAAAATAATATAATGTAAGTATATGGGAAAACAAGACTCAACTTAAGGACAATTCTACACTCTTGATGCACCAATTATGTCTGCATCTTGGGGTCTCACTGTACAGTATTTAACCAAACATGGTGCATATGATATTTTAAAATAATCTTTAAACTTTGTTGTAAACTTTAAAAACTGTATTGACATAAGTATAAGATAATATTTCCTATTTCATTTTATATATCCTCAGGGTTTGACAGAATAGGAGATTAAGAAGGTACATCAATAACTTGAAGAGCCTAAATCAAACATGTTAGCTAAATTTGAAAAACTTGAAGAAAAGCCTCAGAATTTAGACTTATTGTTTCAAGTATTTTGGCACATATTTTCAATACAAGTAGCGCCTTGTTCTTTCTTTTGCAGCTGAAGTTGGAGAGTCTTGCTTGTCTGCCAGTCTTCAGGCCTTGAATAATTTGAACGCATTTGCAAGTTTCATGGGCAGACTTCAAGTGGACCAAAGGAAACAGACGGACATTTGTTACTACACTGCTCTTGGTTACGTGAGTTGAACAAATTCAGTCTCGTGTTCAGATCTCGTGCATGTATGGCATAAATTGGCTTCACCACATACTCAGTAATCACGAAACATGGTTCACGTACCAGCAAAGTCCTCTTAATTTATGATCTATTCTTTCAAGTGAGAATGTAAATGAACGTGGGTTGGGGAAACTAAGCAGCAGGATGACGAGATCATCAAATATTCTGGGACAAAAATGTAGGAGTTGCCATTCTTTTTGAAAACCTCATCGAAGAGAGCTTTTGGTCTATTTAATGGAGATAAAATGTCAGGCATGAAAGACAATCTCTTTGTGGTTTAAAAAAAATGCTGTAGTAAGAAATTTGAAAAAAAAAATTTTATACAGTTTGAATAAAAAATTTATCCTTGGAGAGAACAAAATCAGAGTTGCTTCAAAATTACCATGAGGAGCTTATTTAACTTTTTGATTTTTTAATTAATAATGAATAATTCAAACTATAAATTTGCATTCTTTAAATAATATTTTGGTTGCATATTTTTTTTTCAAACTTCAAAGAACCAGTAAGAAGAAAAAAGAAAGAATTACAGTAAATTTTAAATGGCAATATTCTAGTATTTGAATTGCTTCTTGAATGAGTTGAAAGGATGTTGAACTCCAAGGAAAGGGTTCATTTGCTAAAATTATTCATTCAATTCTTTTCAAGATGCAGTTGCATTTTTAAAATTTATTTGCTCTTTCCTGCATCAATAAAATAATTGCCAAAGCCTCCAGAATGAGTTATAGAGGTTTGAGGGGAAAGCCTTTGAGTTGGGGAGGTTTTTTGTCCAAGGGAATTCAGACAGTTCATGATTTTTTTTTAAGTACTGTACAGTAGATGGTTATGTTTGAGAAGTTTGGTTCATTTTTATATTGCAATTCACATTAGATGTGGGTTAATTCATTCTTGAGTGGATTTTGCGTTTATTATGACAGCAATGATTTTTCACTGTATAGTCATTAATAAAAATGTGACTCCAATTTGATGAGTCAGATCAATCTGAACCTTTGAAAAAAATTATTTTCAGAGAAACCCTGATGGCTCAGCAAATGTTGAAGCATTGGTGAAGGACATTGAAGAAGCCGTGGAACAAAAGCCAGGTGTCCTCAGTGACACTTTCAAGGCTAAGATGATTGACCTTGCAAGAACTAAGTGCGATCGAAAGGAGGTAATTGAAAGAAATATTGTTGATGTTTTATTTGTGTCTTGAAATTCTCTTTCAGCCTTCCGTCTTCATTCTGACCTGTCGATTTTCATAATTTCATTTGCTACAGATCAAGAAGTTTTACAAGTGCGTCTACCAACCATGCATTGGATCCGGACGATTTCCAGACATATGAGAAAATTGTCGAGAAATATTTGACATCACATATTTAACGTCTGTCAATTTCCTTGAAATGAAATCCAGATTTTTTTTTTTACAAAAAGGCTGTATATTCATTTGCTCACCTGTTTTGATATTGACATTGGTCAATCTTTTTCCCATGAAAAATGCTATACGCATTCTGATTTGAATCACTCTCTTGTCCTTGTTTCCAGGTGAAGATGTTTTGTCATGACAAAACCAAGTCAGCACTTTCCTGTCATACATTTTTTTGCATTATTGTGATCTAGAATTCAAAATGCCTGCATTTTACTCAATGATATGAGAATAAAATATGCCTGATGAAATTCCAGTACTCCACAAGGAGTTTTTTATCATAAAATTTGATAGAATAAATTATATTTTTTGGATCTCATCTTGAGACTTATAACTGAATGATGCTGCGTGGATTATGCTTTAATTTTTAATGTCGATTCAACAATTCTAAATACTAAATTTATCAAAACTTTTATAATCAAAGATTTCCAATTGAATGATAAATTTTCAGAAATGTCAACGTTCTAATTCTTGTCTCATTGAATTGCTGTGAAATTGAGACAAAATTTAATTGTATTGTATGAGTGGTGAAAGGTGTCAATTCATATTGAAGGACATTTAAAGGAATGAAAAATACAGTATATTAGAATGATTTCCTGAATGTTTGCATGCAGTATAAAGAAATGTATTCAAATATACAATGTATCAGTTAAACCTTGCCAATTCCAAAAGCTCTCAAAAGTCAAAAACTTCCCAATTTTTTTTTTTTCAAGATTGCCTCATATATATATATTCTGCAGAGGCTTTTGTATGTGGGCTAATATCCTCAGGAGAGTCAGGACACCATCAGCAGTCAGAGAAAAACTATTATATTTAGCTCAATGCTTTTCAAATATGCGAGTATTCAATTCAGCAAACGCACCCTTGCCTCCTATTCAAAATCTGCTGTAGTCAAATCATTACCCGTCATCAATTAAAGACCAAGAAATTTGCCAATTTTGCCTTCCTGTAATTCTTACTTCCCCCATCAAAAATTCTGGCTTCCTCAACTCAAATGTTGCTGTGGGTTCTGAGTTTGATTAAAATAGGTTTGACTATGCATACTAAGGATTTCTTCTGCATTATGAGGATTATTCAGAAGTTCAGTGGCAAATTTGTGAAAGGTTTGGTTCTTAAAATTTGCCCCATAAGCTGCTGTTTATCATAATATCCCCAGAGGAATCCTATATGGCAATTAATTCTAAACTAAAAATACAGTACTGCATAACATTTCAAGTTTAAAATAGTTAAGAATTTTATTTTGTACTGAACGAATTTAATGAAGCGTTCGTCATTGTATGAGGCACCACTGACCACTGTACATAATTCAGAGGATTATTATTCACTGGGTACTGCTGTACACACAGTTGCGCTGCCCGTCCCATAAATTAATTATTGAGCGCTTTCCGATGATGAAAATAATAAATCGAATAATAAAATGAGTTATGGACTCATCGGAATTTCATTCATTCAACCCGAATCGTTGGGAAAGCGGAGTTTGATCAACAGTTGGCGGGAAGTGCGGTTCCATCGAAGCGGGTACGGTCTTCATACCAGTAACTGGCAATGCGACCAACAGTTCCTTCTCCACACTTTCTTTTAGCAGTTTCCATCTCAGTTCCCATTCGTCAAACATGGCTTCGTCTTCCTGGACTCTCGTCCTGCCATTTTGTAAAAATCGTTTGAAGGGATTCGCTTCGTCTTCCGAGTATTTCCGGATTAGTGGAGGATCAACGTAAATTTCGAGGCCTCCGGTACGAAGCATGTTGGTTGGCTCTCGTCGCCTTCTGAACTCGGTGATGTTGATATTTGAGTCGCGATGATCCGTTTCCGTGAAGCAGCCGAAATCGTTGAAATGCGTGGAAGTGTGGAAAGGCTTAAAATGTGACTCACTACGCAGAGGTGATTGCAACCACAAAAAATGAATTTAATCAAAGATTGAAAGGATTCGTTTCGATGCTGTAGGTTCATACCGAAAATCAAGAGAACCCTCAGAGAGCAACAAAGGCACTCTTCTTCGCTTCTCCCAGCAATTCGGAAAGCACTCATAGGCCAAGATCATAGAGCACAGAGCGCTGCACGCAATGGCTGCCCCTATGAGCCGCAATGCCCTGTACGATCGCGAGTAACCCCCATTCTCCGAATCCAACTTGGCACTTAGTCCCATGGCGAATGTCACCCCAGCTATGTTAAAAGGTGTAGCCAGCGTAAAGAAGCTTCCCAGGGCAATGGCGACTGGTAACACAGTCCATGCAATCGGTTCCCCATGATGACGATGAAACACTGCGATCCTGAGTTTCTCGCCTGTGATGTAGACGAGGAAAGCGACGCAGACGGAGGACTGAATCACGGCGAGCAGGGGAGAGTATTCGAATGCGGACAGGGTCATTGCGGCAGGTAGAAGTGTTCCGATGGACACGATGGCTGTTCTTCGTTGGTACCTTTCCGGGGCTCTGCTGCAATCTGTCAGAATCTGTGCCCAGGAAGACGTTGTCGGCGGTAGGAATACTCCGGTGCGATTATTTTGCCTTCGAGACACAGAATTAAGTTAGGAAAGATACCCCGCCCGTTCCACCTTCCTTTCCAAATCAGACTCTCTCGAGATACTTCTGACCATTCCTGTCAGTAATTAATTTCATTTTTACATCATTTGTCGCGGCTTGGTAATATGACGACCAACCTGCATTAAAACAAACGAAAACAAATTTATAATCGTCGGGATTCCTGGATTATTAATATAAAAAAAATTTCCATCATTTTGATGAGGCGCGACCATTTAAATCAAGTGGACAAGACTTGGAAACTTACTACAGTATTAATTTTGTATGAGTATAATCAATTTCAATGGGTCCCTATGCAACAAAAAATTGGAAATTCAAAACTTCTTGGAAGGAAAAATTTACTCATTTGACAACAATTATTAGCCAAAACATGTTCAACATGGATTTCAGCAAGTTCTCAAGTAAAAAGTATGAGGCAAAAATAATCAAGTTTTGTTCTTCATATAGCCCTAAACATTTTTTTACCTTGAGGATTTTAAAAGCTTGACATACTCAGGATTGCTTCAATTTTATACTGATTAATTTCAACTTCGGAATTACGAATTGATTACTGTGCCTGGTTTTAAGGTTCATTCTAGTCATTTCTGAGTGTCCGGGGTAGATCAGAATATTTTCAACCACGACTTCAAGAAATCACATTTCACACGAATAAACACACCCACGAACAGGTTGGTTGTGTTCCGTATGCACTCACTGTATTTAGGTTCAACATGATTATAGCTGTCCTTAAAATTTTAAGCCAAGGATAAAATACATCGGTTGTGAAAAAGAGAATGAAGCTTTAGAATAGATTCATTTTTTTAATTAAGCCAAAATTCATCTGATAGAATTGGCATCTGTACTGAAAATGAATGTGCAAGGTCATTTGCAGTTAATTATTGTTAATGATTCCGTTACTTGAGTAGCATACAATATTAGAAACAAAATGTCTATGTGTAAAATATTTCTGATGCTTCCTGTTTGCAAATGAACTGTAGGAAAATTCCTTCTGCTCCTGCTGTTGCTTTCTCACACAACTTTCTACCAGATCTTCCTTTAGAGTGTTCAAGTGTTGGACTGTAATGCTGTCCAATGCGAAGTAAAAANGGCCCCCAACAGGTGGTGACGCCTCAGGGGGTCTGGGCTTGAGTGCAGGAAGGACAAAAATATCTGCAGCTGTGCACATCCTAAATTCGAGTTTCCTTTCAGGGTTTTAAATACATTTTTATAATACAATTGTTACATCTACGATATCCAATTTATCAGTAAGTTAACTTAAACAACTTAGCTCTCGTTATCGTAAACATCAACTGAACTTTTAATAAATATCATTAATTAGCTGCGAGTAAATTTCTAGCAAAATCTGTAACTTCTCGGTTCAGCTCTCCTTGAAATGTTCATTCCTGAATTAATAATTGTGACCCCTCATCACATCTGTTCAACGCACTTGCTCTTATGAGGAAGAAGCTGGAATGTTTCACATGGAGGGATCGTCAAAACCGGAAGATTACCCTTCCGGAACATTCCATAGCTCCGGAAAACAGAGCAACCTTTCGAAGATTCTTGGTACAATATTCTACCAAACGGGGCATACATCGTTCAAAGAGCTTGCAATTTCTCAGCGGGTTTAAGAAGATTAAGATTAGAAATCAGCGATGGAAAAACCGTTCAAAAGAATTACGTCACTTGTTCATAACTTGACTGCTTCTTCGAACATGACAGTAGTTGTGCATAGAAGTCAGTACCGTCATTCTCATAAGAGCAAATGGACAAATCAGCAAGGAAAGAAGTACCCGAGTGCATAAATGTGCAAGAAAGAGGCCGTGGTAATTTAAAAGCATGAATTATAAAGTTTCAAAATCGCGTCTAAAAAGATAAATGGCCGAGAACTGAAAGATGAAAAATTGATGTTTCAAAGTGACTTACCTCGTTCGACGCTTTCTCCAGCAACAGGACTTGAAAAATGATTTTAGTCCGAAGGTTGTTTTACAGCCATGCTTTCATTCACTTCTCCGAACGACCAAAATAACGAAGAACAAGTCGGCAAATACTCGAGAATTGCAACAAAATATACGGTGCAACTTGACTCACTGCCTTTAAAATATCCCCGAAAAAACGCCTCTCGGCAACAAGAGGTATTCGGCAAGTGACTAATTTACTTCTCCCGGTCTATTCAGATTCAAATACGTCGAGTACGATTTCCGGAAAATCTCAGCAACCGGAACTGCACGAGGCGTTTCTTCCGACTACCTCTTCTTTTCAAGCACCTCTAGACATATAAATAAAAAAATTCAACGATTTTTTTCTCTCTCTCTTTCCCGTTGAAAATAAAACGTGATTTCGATTTTCCCAACTGACTGCAATGCCTGAAAAATCGCGGACTAACTCTCGAGTACAACAAATCCATTCGCAGCACCTTACGTGTTCTTTCATCCCAGAGCCAAAAATCCTGAAGACTCCTCTCGTCCCGCGAGAAGTTTTTTTTTTCCTTTTTTTTTTTTCATCTAGCACCGGGTAACTTCCCTTGAAACACAGAAACTTCTGAAGACTCCTTTGAGCAACGAAGGTGAAGACAAAATACTTCATTCTCTATTTACGATAAGATTCCTAGAAGGCCTTGCGAATCCCCAAAATCGCCTCATTGCAGTGCAATTAAACATGACTCTCCTGTTTTCTGCATCTTTATGTTGGTTTACCGCAAAAATGAACCCGTTCTGCGGAGAACATAATAATTAAAATTAATTTGAGAATCAACGCAGACATTCTTGAAGAAAACGGAACAAGCGCTCATATTCTCGCGAAATTCTCGGTGATTTGTCAAACAGAAAAAATATTGGATGAGAAAAAAGTATTCAGGGTCGAAGTCTCATATCTTCGACTACTGCCACGTGGATTCGAGCATTTTCGACAGGAAATCACTGTTTTCGTGATTTTCTTCATGAAGAGTACAACAAACGAGAAACTGCTGATGAAAGTATTCATTTCGAAGTTTCAGTCGAAAATTGTTTATCGGAAGATACTCGCGAAAATGGAAGCTCGGTACTTCAATTCACAAGTTTTCCGTGATACTCATTATTGATCATCATTATAGCTCCAGTACATAATTTATGAATTCATTCTCAAATTTTAAATGTTCGTGATAAGAAAAATAGAATTTAAACCTCAGACTATAATATTGTATCCGCCTGCAATTAAATATTCCGGTGACTCGCAAGACTTTCGAGAAATCCCCAGCGCAGTGAAAAGGCGCAAATAATATTTTCCGAGTGCCGAAACGAAAGAGACAAACGCTTACATTCGTTCCATGCCGGAGATCACACTTGGGATCTTGCAAATTTCAACCATTTGTCCTTTTTCCTTTCACGAATCAAAATTACCCCGCTTTTGATAGTAACTAAGAATCCTATGCAAATGCATTTCAGATCCGTTTTAGATCATTAGTTGATTTGTTGCCCAATTTTTTCGGCGAATCGCTTGTTCGACACCTCAAGTACAACATACCAGCAAAAAAAAAACAAAACAAACTGAGAAATCTCAATCAGTAAAACAAAAGGACTACATTTTTTTTTCTTTGGTTTCGATTTTTTTATGACTTGAACTAGATTCTCTCAGTTGATTTTTCCGCGTCATCAATCGCAATGCATAATAGTTAATCAACGACTCTTCTTTCAACGTGATCTTATGGAAAGTTTCGGAAACGACAAAAGATAATTCAACTTCCGAAAGCACCTTCCAGTCGGTATTCCTTGCTTACAACTGTATTCTGCCCCTAAACTCGCGGTATCAACAAAACAATATGCTCAACACACGCTTCTTTAAACTTGAACAACCAATGTTACTTTCTGGTATGCCCAGGCAGGTGTTGCCTGAATCACTAAAATGGCCCGAGCTCACCTAACCTAACTTGTGAAATATCTCAAGCTAATTTACATCAATGTAAACTGGATTTTCCTGTACGTTCAAGTGTAAAAGACCCAAAATTTCCCCAGACATTTTCCTCCAAAACTAACTGAATTAATAAAGAGGAATGATTTGTTTTCCTTATAATGTGGAGAAAAATTGAAAATGTTTTCGGACAATCCTTGAATTGGTCAAAATCTCAGAATTCGAATTAAGACAGGAGTTCTTTTAATTGGGTTTCACCGGTCCTCCAGTATGTTCTTTGAGCATTCGCGGCTGCGGTAATCTGCTACTCGCGTAACCCGACCCCGATGACGTCGCTACAACGGCGCCACCCGACCTTCTCTTTTGCACTCCCATGCCCACATCCTGCAATTTAGCCGCCGATGCACGACTCATTGTCGGCGAAGAATTAGCCGACGACGGCTGCTTTCTCGCCCGAATCCCAGCAGCTCCGCCCCCAGCAGGAGACACGCCCTGACGCAGTCCCCGCATCGCCCCCAAGCTGGCGCGATGCGCCGTCGCCCGGGCAAACGGCGTCGTCACCACTACGTCGTTCGTAGTACCCGGGCTCGACGATCGCGACGAAATCGGACTAGATTCCGCACTCGACGTATTCGGCGAAGACGCCACTCCGGAAAAGGACATGCGAGATGAAGGCGGTCTCAGTTTGCTCGGTTTCGCAACGCCGATGGTGCCGGCGGATTTCCGTCGCGACACGTCCGTCGGGACGGACTTTTGGGCAATGATTCCCGGTGGACGACGTTGGACAGCAAGCTCCGGCATCGTGGACATGCGGGTTAGTTTCGTGTTGGTGTCCGACACCGAAGTCGGCGGCAGTTTCTTCCCGCCTTGCTTGTCTTGAAGCTGCATCTGCTTCGCCGCGTTTGAGGATCGCAGAGAAGAGGAAGATGACTTGGGGGAAGATCCCGCCGCCTCGCTGTCCCAGAAGTACATGCCGAAACCTTGACGTCGACGAAGGTTTCCTTCAGGCCTCTGCTGAGCGTTCAACGCTTCTGCGAACAATTCCCGGCGATTAGGCTTCTTTCAATTTCTTAGCTAATTCATTATCAGAACACGTAATTGATTTTCCACCAGGAAAATTCAGATAGATTATTCAATCGAGCAATCGATGCTCTCTCAACGTTCAAATGCATTTTCTGCATTACTTATTTTACATTGGCTCTCAGAGAAACATGATTTTTATTCGAGCCGTAGATGAGATCAACAAAATGATGAGCCATCGTTTTTAGCATTGTATTTTCAGGACATTGAGTTACATTGATGAGACGCTGACCGAAGCAGAAATGAACGAAATTCCACACATCAAGATATTTACAACGACCTCACAGCAAGGCATCAATTTCGGAGCTAATCTGACGGAGTACAGTATACGAGATAAAAACAGCAGGAACGTATGCTTACCGAGGGCAGAAGAACGAGCAAGACGATTATTCAACGCCGACAGCGGCAGAATCGACGGCGGCGGCGGCTGTCGCAGCGGTTTCCACGCCGCCGGACTCATCCTCACTCCAGCATCCACCAAAAACTCGTCCGTCGACGGGTCCAGATTCTCCAGCCTGGAAACAAAAGACGGCCGCGGGCCGGGATCAATGACCGACGCACTTCCATATAATCCCCGGTCACGCTCCAACAACTCCGCGTCCCATCCCAACACGTCATCGGCGGCCGTCGGCGGCGGCGGACTGTGCGTCGTCATCACGCGGCAAAACCGTCGGAGCCGAGAGCTGCGGAGGAAACGGAATTCTTCCGAATGCCAAGGACGCAGGGTGTCCAGGTGGCGTTGCTGAAGCAACTGCTGTCGCTGTTGGTCGAAAAAGGATGCGGAGCGAATGTGCAAAGGCGCCGGGCGGCGCCACGAGTCATACCGACTCTCTCGGACGTCCGAATCCCACAAGGGAATTCCTGGAAAAAAGCCAGTAATTTCAACTGCACAATATCAAGTTCAAGATTAACGGGAATATTTATGTTTACTATATTCAGTTCTGCGAAATACGAGGGTTGTCCCACTTAGACGCGACTTTGGCTATTTCTACTTTCTAGACTAGGTATGACTGATGAAAAAAAAAATTAAGACACAGCCCGTGACGTCGTAAGGTTCGGGAATTTTTTTCGAGTTTTCTTTAAGAACAATTATTACATTTACTGCATGATACGTGAAAACTTTCCAGTTACGGCCGGAGTTCTCCACCAATGTCAGTGCTAAAAATTTGTCAGGCCAACTGAAAATCTAAATTTCTTTGTTGTTTAAACCATTACCTCAAACGAAAAAATGAATGATAGAAAAAATAATGGCTAAAACAAAACAACATGCATAACATGCTTATTATGGTCATTTTAGATAAAGTGAGTGTAAAAACACGTTGTTTAATTTAGGTTTTCAGTCCTATTCGCTTGCATATTTTATGCCACGTTGATACTGGTCAGTTAATTGAAAAAACCTTAAATAATCAAGGTCAGTATATTTTTTTCAGTAATCCAAGTCTTCATTCTCTATAATAAAAATAGCCAATGTCACCACGATAAACTCTCAGTCAGAGAAGTCGAGCTCTCAAGAATGACACACCTTCAACCGAAGGACTTGAAAAACATACCTGATCGAAGCAGCTGTTCCCGGACCCACAACCGATCTCCTTCGGCCGGCGTGAAGTACGGCAACGACCTGTCCCTAACTCCGAAGTCTTCATCATCCCCGTCGAACCCAGTCCTGCCACCCCTGTCGTACTCATACGACACCCTCCTACCATGCCCATGAAGATGCCCTAAATAATGCTGCGCTTCAGTCGACCTGGATCTTCGAGCTTGTTTGAATTCCCACGCCTCCATCGGCACCATGATCGGCCCGCTATTTTGTCGACGTGCCATCATGGGGAATGTCATTGCAGCACCGCCACTATTTGAGTTATTTGCAGAAATGTGCGAGGAAAGCAGGGTTGGGGGCGCCCGGCGACGTTGCAACTTGTTGGCATCCATTTCGGGACGAGGTACGGGCAACATTCGACGCTGATTGTGTGGTCGAGTGTGAGGAACGTGTTGAGAGGGAGGTGAAGAAGACGATGACGCGGGATTGAAGATTTCTGCGTTCGGGCTATTTTGACCGAATAGCGATTCCACCACCAAGGAGTACATTTTCCCCCCACCAGTTCCAAGTAAGCAGCGTTAAAAAATTCGAGACACACGTCAACGGATTGTTAAGACACAGTGGACGTCACAGTCTCATTCATCTTCGCCGAAAAAAAAAATGAAATAATTCATGCATGGAAAACTGGCGAACGCAAAGAATAAATAATAAATAAAAACTTTGATGCTATAAAATAATACCACTGTAGGTGATTTCATCAAGAAATGCTACAACCGAATTTTGATAAAAACTTGTGCATCAAAATAATAGATCCGAAGAAAACCCCCAACGATGAATCGGTTGTACAGAATTACTAACATCGTAACCAATTAAAAAAAATGAGCTCAAACATCCGGTTTATTAAAAAGAAATGCTGCGATAAAATTTAAATTTTAAAATAATTATGTGCACTTCGTTTTCTAACCAAGGCTAAATGAAGAAGTCCGAATGCTGAGGGTTCTACCGTGATCAATATAAGATACTTTGGCTTGTTAATTTCTTGGGATAGGGGAGGGGAAACGCAAAATTCCCTTTTTTGTCAAGACATCAATAAAATTACACAAAAAAATTCAAGAGCACATGCAAACAAAAGCTTCATAATCTCCACCTTTGAGACGCCTCGAAGCTCAACAGCGTCGCCCGTGTTCTCGACTTGACCGGCGCCTGCTGCTGTGGTTGTTGCTGCTGCTGTTGTTGTTGCTGCTGCTGACCTCGTCTAAAACCTCCAGCTTCACCACTGCTTCCGTTCATTCGTCCATTCCACGCCGCAGGTTTCGGCAACCCGGACCCAGGCGACTGTGCCGTCGCAGTGGCGCCCACGTTGGGCAACGACACCGGCGCCTGGTTGTTGGTTGGAGAATCACCGACGGTCAGATTGACAGTTGTCGTCATCGTCGCTGATCCCCCGACAGAAGACGAATTATGACCACCACTAGAGCGACTATCATTTACCGCAGAACCGGTAGTGGAACTTGTTTCCGGAGAACGAGAGTCACGATGGTCTCCGCCGTCGATTCCGAATTCCGCACCGGAACGTTCGGATCCTTCGCGACGCTTTTCGTCGACTTCCGTGTCCGAATCAAAATTTATTCCATCCTGTGCAACATGAGAAAAAATTAAAATTTTCTCAAATTAAAGAATTCCTAGTATTCCGCGCAAAAATCCGACCGAAAACAAATTGAGTCAACATACTCTGATTCGCGGAATAAATTGATAAAACTTTGTTTCAATATCCAAAATTAAGGTGCAGTATTAAACATGGAGAAAGCGGGAAAAAGACATTTTTTTCGATAGGTGACGCCTGAATTGCCAATTTGACGAAAGAACCATATCGAACTTGAGCTTGACTAAGTATCACCCAACTCAACAACTTCCAACATGAGAAAACGGGGCAGTAGCTAGAGAGAGGCAAAGAAAATTCTGGAGCTGAGAACGTCGAAAGTTCAAAATAAAATATTTTATACTTTTGTGAACAAAAAAACGTTAATAAAAACGTGATGGCATTTGTAACATTGAGGATGTTCCCAAAATCAAACTTACTTCCTCCACGACTCCAATCGGAATGTCTTCCATCACAGCCACCGAAGAATGAAGCGACTCTAGGACATCTTGGTCAGACTCTTTACCCGCGATACGAGCAACGGTGTCATCCATTTCAGAGATCAATACCTTGTCTCTCGGTAATTCCAAAGTAGACTTCAGTACTGGAAGCAGTCTACATGCCCTGATCCTTACATTCACAACCTTATCCTCTACGTACAAATAAAACAATGAATGAATAACTGATCAACTCAGCGAATGAAGCTCAGGTCTCACCTATCATCGCAAGGGTCTTCCGGAAGAAATAGTTTTTGAAGTAAGACTTGGAAAACAACGCGGCAGCCATTTCACTGATTTTCAGGTACAGCATTCTTCGGTGGTAGCTCTGACCGCGACAGAATTCTGAAAAAAAAAGCAAGATTAAAAAAAAAAAAATGTGCTCTGAACTCTGAGGACGCTTCATCAAACCAAGTACCTTCGTTCAATTTATCGAGAATTTCCTGTCGCTCCTCTCGTTTCCTGTTGTTTCTCAGGAACACGAGCAAACTGTAAGCAGCTGACTCACGACATGGAACTGGTCTCTGATGGAATGAAACGTGATAAAGTCGTCAAAAAAGCTTAAAATGCTAATTTTTCAAGAAATAAGACCGAAACCGAGGACTGTCTAACGAACTCAAACATTTTAATTAGACAGATTATTCAATTGACAGCCATCCTTATAAGCGTAAGGGAATGCTAAGCTAAAATTGATCGCAATCTTGAGAACCACGAAGAGGAAATTGAAAACTTACATCCTTCACCATCCGCTGCCAAAGCAGAGGTGCGAACATTTTGTAAACCCGATCCTTGGGTAAATGTTGAGGCAACAAAGCAACAGTCCGGAGAAACAAAGAATGAAGTCGCCAATTGCAACCACTTTCCGGTTTGCTCGTAATTGTTGCTTCGCACTGCAATAACGCGTTCGCCAGCTCCTCGGCATTAGCAATCTGAATTTTTCAACATGTGAGGGAAGAGATCTGCATTGAATTTCATTTCTAAAACATTCCACGAGCAACAGCACAAAAAAGAGACATGATTACTTTTCTTTGAACAGAGGCAGTTTTAGCCTCCCAATTATTGAAAATAAAAAATAACTGCACGAATGAAAAGAAAAACTTGTGCAACACGTCATACTTGAATTTTCTGAATTTTCACGGAGGCAATTAAGCTGTAAAAACTCACGACTGCTTCATCTGCTTTCTCAGCGTCAATCTCAACAGTATTCGAACCACCAACGGATCTGGTTATGGCCTGAATCGCGGTCGAGAGATTCGGAACGACAGCTTGTATAACTTCCACACTGTTGTCTCTCAGCAGCTGTATGAAATGCGTCCATAACATTTGATTTCCGGAGCCCAAAACCAAGCACACCTACAGAAGGATCAACATTTGCGATATTTTTTTTCAAGGCAGTCTATACAAAATCAGTAGGATTTGTGTGATATATCTCAAGCACATTTTAACCCTCTCAAACTCACCTCATGTATGCCACAAGCAACGGTATATCGAACAGCACGATGAGGATCAGAAGCAAGCAAACCCAGAGTTTCTTCCATTCTCATGGAAAACAAGTCGTCGATGTGCGCAAACAAAACCATTGCCGGTAGATTGAATGCACAATGCAGCCGGCAATCCAACAACCTTGTCTGATTAGCAAAAACAGGAACCAAGTCTGGCATCTGCACAAATGAATTCAAACGGAAATGGATTATTCTTTCTTTTTTTGCGACGGAAAATGAGGAGAAATATGAGCATTTGTTCGTTCTTCGCATTTTAAAGCCTGGCCTTCTGAACGTTATTTAATGTCTTACGAATTACCTGATCCAACTCAAGCCAACTTAAGGTGATGAAACTAACCAGGCACAACATTAGATAATCAAACTCAGATAAATAAAAATATACACACAATTTAGGCGACAGTAATGTGAAATATATAAAAACCACGAAATTCGGAATGTTATGCTTTCGAATGTGAAATCTTTTGTTCGCAGCGTTTTCCTTAATTTACACGAGAAAATACATGATTCTTTCCATGATGCTATTTTTCACTCAAAAGATCAATTGTGTTTCTCTTTGATTGGGCAGGTGTCACCCGAATCTCAAAAACATGTACTGTACTTCAAAATGAAGAGTAACCCAATGTCCTAACCCCACACAAGCTGATTCTTCGGAATTTAACACACAAATCCATCCCAGTAATGCTGTAAATCTCACGAAACTCGAAAAGAATAAGGTACAGTATAATATATCTGACGAACACAAGAAAAAGAGATACAGGCGACACCTATGCTAAGTTGACAAATTACGGAAACAGGGACGTCGAGTAGGAAAGATAAAATTCATTTTCTAGAACTGACCATAGTTAATCCGAAATACGGCGAGAGAAGTAAAAAAAGATTAGATATACGTTTTGTTTTGATTGCTTGAATAATAATGATGCAGGCAGAAGCATCACGTAAAGCAGCATTCCAAATAATACTGTACTTCGGTGTTCATTAAATTTCTAGCCCAAAAATATTCAATCAAGGAAAACCATTACACAACGGGAAACTTACGGGGCTTTTTCCACCCCCGGCATTATCACTACGGAATGAACTGAGACCCAAGCGGCTCATCTGGACGTAGAATTCGATTAACGGTGCTTTGTCGTCGGGTCGAACGCAGCCGGAAAAATTGTGGCACATCTTTCCGAAATGCTGTGCGAGGAAATTTAGGGAGTCGTCCTGCACACGCATGGCTCGCTCGCACATTTTGAGCATCAGGGGATAAATTGTATCACGAACAGTTTCTGCGAAATTTCAACCGAAAAAAAGGGCTCACACAATCCTCGACACATTCGACACTTTCAGTCTTACGACTCGAAAATAAAACATTCAAGTCCAACTCACCAACATCAAGGAATGGAGTGAGAACAATGAATGTTTCCAAGGCGGCCAGTTTTACCTCCAAGTCATCGTCATTCGCGAGTTCCATGAGGCCAGCTAACAAATTTGACTTTGCTGCTTCCGCCCTAAAAAAAATTCGCTCAAATGGAGTACAGTACAATACTTGAAGAAAACCTTAGAAATTTCAATAGGTACCCCAGTCCCTTCGCAACAGGTTGGATTTGCCGAGAGATACAAGCTCGCACAGCAGGGCAAACATCTTGCGACAAACACTGAACCATCGGGATAAGTTCTGCTTGAATCCTGAAAATTTCAATCGCATCTTAATTTTCAGAGAACAAACAATTTGAACTTTGATTATAAAATTACAAACATCATGGAATCGAATCTCCCAGCAAGTTTCCCGATCAAACGGGCGGCCGCCATTCGTGAGTCAACCGGAGTTGTCGGTTGAGCCTTTCTTAGAGCCAGATCAAGAATCTGTGAAATCATGAAACTTCGTCATGAGAATTTGAATTTTGAGATGTGAATAAATAAATAAATTCACGCACTTCGTTTTGAAGGACAGATGCTGGAATCAGCTCGAACACATCCAATAGGGTTTCGAACCACGCATTCGCCACAGCTAAAAGATAAGGTTATAATTTTCAACAGAATACATAACTTCAACTACAGTACAGTACTACAGAGGGCCAACTATTCCGCTCTTTTCACTTCAACGACCAACTACCTTGATTTTTATAAAGGAAGGTGTAGCCTGAAAAATCCTACCAAAATCACCCCTCTTCAACTTAAAGTAAAATTACATAGCATGAAAAAGACCAAATTCATCCCATATATAAGATAACCCAGTTCACGTAGGTCTTCGAGAGAGAAAAACATTCAGGCTACACGTACGTACAATACCAAAATGCAAAAATCTAAAAAATTGGGCAGTCCATCGCATAAATTACTAATACGATAAATATTAATTTGAATGGACAAAAATTGAAATAATGACGGCGACCTTTGTGTCACGGGAAAAAAATTTGCGGAATTCACCACGTCGGATGCTGTAGTTAGCCTAAAAACAAAAACCCCGTCGATTCGCAAAGGGTATGTTTCGGAGCATTTTCAAATCCTGCTGACGAGAATGAAACTTTCCAAACAATGAAAATTAAAAGCTTACCTTGATCTTTACTTTCGATGGACGTGAGAATGCTGCGCAAAAAAGATTGCGTGAAGTGCTCGTGCGGAACTGCCAATTGTGGACAGAACTCGGCAGAGCCTTGCCAAATTCTCGGTTGCGGAGATCGATTCGCACGTCCGTGTTCCTGTTCGTACTCGGACCCACCATGGTCCCTGTTTTCTGAATGTCTACCCCCGTCCAAAACCCCTGGAGATTCGCCACTCATGTTTCCCAAATGAAGAATCTTTCCGATACCAACTTCATCGTTCGGCTCACAGCTTGCGCGGGCATTGCTTTAGTTTCACGTCACCAAATTGAAAGAAAATAAAGAAGTCGCCGAAAATATAATAGGAAGAAGGTGACCGTTTAGGAGGCAAGAATGATCTGAAAAATGTGAACAGCAAGCCGATGAAAACCACTGTCAGATACCCAGATGTATAAATAAGCGATGCAAATTCAAAACGGAATTCAATGATGGTTCAAAAGTTTTGTCAGTGAAGTAACTTGGAATGGGTGACCACGTTTCTGAATAGGAAACCTAGAAGCCAGAAAAATAATAATTGAAGAACTTCAAAAGCAAGCCTACTTTCATTTTTAAGGATTTTTCTATTCTCCAGAACAGCCATGATTCGCACAAAAATTTCCTCAACTAAAATTTTTGCGCAACTTCACTTCCATTATAAGTACGGTAATGCGCGTTTGCTAGGATCAGGAAACTTCCAATCGTCGGATTAATCAAATCAGTTCTCAGACGATCTGTTTCTGCCCAAACTACAGTATTCAACAGCGCTTCGACTGTTTACGAGTTTACAGAACGTACGTGTAGAGTAAACCCAATTTTCTTCCATTTCCACAAAAGCATGTCAACATTTCATCTGGGTGGGCATTAATGATACCAATCGCAATGAAATGACCAAACGCGCCAATTAAAACCATCCATCCAAGACTGAAACACGGGAAGAGCAGGACTAACGAAACTCACGAACCAACCATCGTAAGACATGAATACTGCACTATTCGCAGAAGGAACGCATCTCACAACACGTAGAATATGCAAGGTAAATCTCTTTTTTATTTACCGAACACTTGAATGGGGCACAGATCTCCAGACATTCCTCTTTGATCATCTTGGTTAAAAAAAAGAGCTCCGGCTCAAAACCCAAGCGAAGAACTTTGTTCCCTTGGAGTAGTGCTCAGGATTTTATCACGTTGTTGACAGCTCTTCAAAAAACATTAGATTTGGAAGAATCCGTCTCATGTTTGACACCAACAATATCTTTCAGTTCGCCATATTTTTTGGTTTCCAATGCCTTCCCAACAACGCTTTCCTCTCATTTTCATGCTCATTTGAAAGGAATCTTCTCATCGAAGTGCAGAACTTCGCTACTGAGTTAGATCGCCCAAGACAGGAACGCTGCGTGGGGTAGAATATCTTCGTCAGAAAGGCAGGGATTTAACAGCGGAGAAATTCACGAAACATGCAATACGCAATGCCTCAAAATACTACTGTACAATGAGTTTTTGATATTTATGCTGAACGACAAAAAGAGCATTATGCTTACCTGCATGCGATTTGAACGAAGATAGTTTTCATGAGCGAGCAGAATGCACACATACTAGAGTCTCGTAGAAGTCCAGTGCTTTCATCTGCTCTTCGACTATTCCATTTCTAACGCAGTTTTCCTTTAAAAGATAGATCAACACATTCTTGGGAGAAATACGAAGAGAATAAAAGTAATGCGAAATAGCGAGTTTTTGCTTTTGCTCTTAAGGAAAAGCTCCATCTTATAGACAAATTTGTTAAAAAAAATATTAGCGTAAAACCTAAAATTTTTGAAAAGCATTGAGAGTAAAGCTTCAAGAAAACGACCCTAGAATAATTTTGAAATGCATTCACTTGTGATTTTTTAGGCGTTTTCTGTATGAGAGACGTGAAGATAACATTAATTTCTTCTTTTTTTTTTTTTAAATTGAAGTCTCTTCAAACATAGCGGAATGCGAGACTTGAAGGAATGAAATGAACCTCCGGTTTAACGTACAGTATAAGCAATATAAAACTAGATACGAAACAAATCAGATCAATAAAACGCACATTTCATGTTCATGGGCATGACTGGTCCCAGTTAAAGCACTCAAATTGAAGCACTTCGCAATAAGAAAATCATCATTCCTAGACAAAATGTTATATATTGCGGCAAATGCTTCAATCAGAATGACAACAAAATCATCAATCAACATCCCGTACCTATCAAAAGGTCCCTGCGGTGTCAAGTTAAAAATGTTGCAAAACTAGAAACTCCAAATGAGCCAAAGTCTTAAAAAAAATTGAAGCGAGAACATGACACACAAAATTTTGCAAGCAGGCATTCAACATACACTTCAAATTTCATCATCACGAACTGGACGTTTGTGGCCGGAACCTTTCCATGGCTTTTCGAACCGTATCGATAGCTTCTCCCGTTTGCTTCCGTCGCAGCTTCCATTCCCTGAGCTCTTTGTCAATTCGAATCTGAGCTTCTTCAAAAGCTTTCAATTGTTTGAGCTTTTGTTCATCAACTGAGCAAAAATAGAGAGATAAAAAGCCGTGAAATAATGATTGCTGAAATACAATTCAGGACCTTTCCGACTTGCGGGGCATAATTTGGATTTAATTTCGTAAGGCGGAATGGCTCGGGCAAATAACCGTTTTTTAAATGTTCGGTACAGCACTCCCAAGTATGAGGTCATTTCAAATTCAGCTGGCAAATATTCACAACGAATGGATTTACCAGAAATTCAAATGGGATCAACTCACAATCCGTTTCATGAGCATAGTTCCCTAGAACTAACGGCCGCGTACTCCGGAGAATCTGACCCATCATGGGAGACGGATTTGTGAAAACTATTTCGTCGTACACCTCAGACACGAGCAAATTCTTGGCCTTGATTATCACATCCTGCTTCCCGGGAAATAGTTTTACATGATGTGACAGAGTGACGAAATCTTCGCAATCGGGGTCGTTGAAAAACAGCGTGATGAGTATGTCGAACTCGCCCCAACCGGTTTCCGTTACTTCATAAGGCGGCTGAGTTATCTGTCGTATTCTATTCTCGAATGTCTCATGCAACGTGAACTGAACCTGGAAGAAGGTGGAGAAATAATTTTTCTCTTACATGAATCTATACCTGGAAGCATGCCTTCAGGTTCCAAGAAAAAATAAATTTCGCTCGCACTTTTCAGAGAAAATCTGCATGAACTTTCACAGAAATCAGGGACGTACTGATTGATGCTGTTATAAATGAACTGACGAAGCTTCACGCTAATAGTTTCGTACGCAAAAAGGGCTGGAGTTCACCACCAGTGATGAAATTCAGGAGAGAATCCTTCAAGGTATTCTTACAAAGATCACAGTACTACATACATAAAATTTCAGATGTGATAAGGAATTTAAAAAGTCCCTGGACGTACTGTACCTTTTTCACCCAAACAGACATATCTTCATTCGAATAGGGCCGGACGTATACTGTCCATTGATGAGTGTGTCCCTTGTCCTCGCGCTTTTTGCCAAAATTTGTCGACACGTTTCCGTAAACTATAGGTTTAACAATCACCTCTTTTTTCACCCCTTCCATTTCTAGAAAAGCGAGGATAGAAAAGACGACCGAAACCACATTAGTGAAACCGCATACAAGGAAAATACAAGGAATATCCCAATGAAGAACAGAAAAGCCTTGAAACATAATGTCGGTCCTTCTTTCAGTTTTTTTCATCAATCTTTCGGGACACAAACACGAAAGACATTTCTTTCACTTTTTCGCCGCGGGTTTGGCGCCTCCGCGCTTCTTGATCTTCTTGGGCTTTTGGCTTTGGAGAATTGCGCTTGCGCGGCGCATGGCGGCCTAAAGTCGAAGAAATATGAAAAGAAAAATGTTTAAACATGCGAGGAACAAACCAGAAATTCAAAAAATCTTCATGTTCGAAGTTCACACCTTTTTGAGATCATGACGGTATCTATCTGTCACGATCACTCGGGCAACCTTCCACAACAGACGACGAGGACCGGTCTTCATGATCATGGATTTCGTTTGAGCCGCTGGTCGGTTCTGTGGATTAAAAAGGGTTGGCTCAACTTTTTGAATTCGTGAAGCGCAACGCGAACAGTTCAAGAAAATAGGGTAGCATCATGAAGCTGGAAAAAGTGTCGCGAAGCTCCGAGAGAAGGGTTTTCCTCAAAGTGACAGAAAATTCCAACGTTTAAAAAAATTTCAAATGAAAAACACAAAAAAACGAATCGCAACGTGAATAACTGTTCTTTTTCAACAGAATCACGCGAAAGAAAATTGCCCATTTTTCAATGCATAAATTATAAAATGTCATTGAGGATTTTCCATAACTGCAACAGGATTTTATTTTCTATTATTTCACGAATTCAGCAAGATAACAATCAATCGATCCTATTCATTGCAATACATAGTTCAATAACATTTATTCTCAATGCAACAATTGAATGCTCACCATCTTATTTCGCTTGCGGCGGGTAATGACGACTCCTTTATTGTCCTTCGCAGGCTGGATATCAATAGTTTTTGGGTGGATAAAGCCATTGGCTTTGAAGGAGTGGATGTTACGCACGTTTCCTGGTTCCTGGAAAAATACGATCACATCAGATTACTGCATCAGGTAACATTTTATCAAAAATGGTTGGCTCGAAAATTCCGGACATCAAATAAAAATCAAGTGGCTACCAGGAAAAGCAGTGAAGTATTTGGTTCAATAAAAATATTCACCTTGCTCAACGTGCGGATGTTGGGGCGCTTCATGATATACGCGTGGTGATTTTTCACAATCTCCCAGGTAAGAAACCGAGATGCCATTTTTATCGCGCGAAGTGAACGACCGAACAAAGAACACCTGCGGAAAGATTGTCATTTGATAGATATGTTATGTACAGTTCTGGATAAATTATAACAGCACGAAAAAGATTCTGATCACGAAGGGCGAACCACATGGCAATGAACAATACAAAAAAATCACTAAATCATTTCTTCTTGGGCGGCGTCAGGAACGTAAGTTAGTCCCCGTTCGCGGAAGAATTTCGTTCGAATGCGTTCCTTTTCCAATTTCTTCTCAGTCTCGACTGTTTGAGCTTGAAGAATTTCTTCAAAAGAGACCTTTTCCAACGGCAAATTAGCCTCTTTCTCTTCGTCCTGTCATCGTAAAAAAGAAAAATCGAGTTAACTAGTACACGCGAATAAATCACTAAACTTACGATTTCTCCAATAAGAAAGGTATTGTCCCCCCGGACAAGGAAAATCCCACGGGGAATATCACCGTATTTGTTACCGACGTAAATTCGTTCAATAGTGCGATGCAGAAGCAGATTAGCAAACTGGTCAACAGAGCGCAAAATTCCTAGCAATGTTCTGCCGTCTCTCAAAACCACCATCATCCGCTCTGCAAAATTAGCCAACGGATTCGGTAGTTCATCCCGAGACGATTGTCAAACACGATTAAATCGTGCAAAAGAACTCACTGTCAATATCTTGCAGAAGACTGGCTGAGCCGGGAAGATAACTCATCCCGACTTTGAAACGCTATATAACGAGCACTAGCACCGTATTCTGGAAAAAAGTCGAAGAAAAACAGTCGACATTTTTACTGACATTTTTGCCACTTGAAAGTTGCGAATAAATAATGTGATCCAACACTTCCGGTGCAACATTTCTTTCCCGCAAAATAAGTAACTCAAACGGCAAACCCAACTTCAAGGCGTAATTGTAGATGATTTCCCTCACGCTACACGCAGCGTTTCCGTTGCAGCGCAACATAAAACCGGGTACTTGATATGCCCACATAACAAGACAACAGAAATCATCTTCACAGAAAGATTTTGGGTTAGTAACAGAACACACGTGTTGCACGGCGAAGACAGATTTGTCCCAAGGCAAGAAAGACATCCACTTCAAACCCGTCACTTTTCACGACAACGCAAGGTGGAATGACTCTTCATAAGGCTCCATTATTCCTCTTCTCGCCATTTGTTTTCTCATCAAGACTTCCGTGAGCAGTGATGTAATTTAGCAAATCGATTCGAGAAACGATTCCAATGATGACTTCCTTTTCAACCTTGTGTCCTTTTTCAGAATCTTGTGGATGATGGAAAAAATTTTCACATAAAACTGTTCGAGTAGGAAATCGAAGTCGAACTTACAGCACTGCTGCTTGTGGACCACGAGAGCATAATGATCTTGATCCAAAATCCTACTCAGTCGTCCAAGCGAGGTATTCAGAGATATTTTCTTAAATTGATTGTAGACAACCTCAGAAACGGGTGACCATGGTTCAATTTTCTTGGCAAGAATTTTTGAAATCAAATTTCCGAGTGTAACCATGCCCAGAATAGTACTAAAAACAACCAGAAAACATGTATAACACGCTAACCCGGAGAGGGAAATCAGCTTGAACATACCTGCTTTCATCCACCACAGGTAATTGATCGAAGTTCTCTTTGTTCATGATTTCAATAGCATCTTGGCATGAGCACATAGGCAAGACAGTCAATGGAGCATTAAGTTCCAGAGCTGTGACAAGTTTGTTAGACCACCTGGATATAAAATTTTGAAAAAATGAACGCAGGTTCTGCGGTAGTTCCAAAATCAAAATAATAATAGAAGAACGGCTGAACTTACGAATGCAATTCCTCGTCTAGGCTTGAATAATCCATAAAGCCCTTCGTTATCATCCACTGGTCGCTGAGGAACTTTGTCATGTAATTTCTGACTCCGTCCGGTAAAATAACGACGCATTTCTGACCTTTCTTCAAAACTTTCGCGGCTTCAAGAGCAGCTGACATCGCAGAACCGCAGCTTCCTCCTGAAACCGACTAAATTAATCAACCTTCAGGATAATTTCCTCGGCAATACTCACCGCAAAGCAGTCCTTCTTCTTTCATCAGACGCCGGGACATGTGGAATGACGATAGGTCATCCGACTTGATCCATTTATCCACCACAGATCTATCTGAAAACGTTGATTGAAAAGATAACATCAAATCAAAACCATCGAATCGAACACTTACCGAGAACAGTCGGAACGAAGTCGTAGCCTATCCCTTCCACCTCGTAAGATCCTTCAGACACATTCAAACTCGCTGGTTCGGCAAGAATGGAGCCATGCGGATCAACACCAACAACGATACAATCCGGACATTTTTCCTTCAGTTTGCGACCGATTCCGGCAATAGTTCCACCAGTTCCCGCAGAAACCACGACCATGTCTACTTTTCCTCCCATTTGTTCCAAGATCTCTTCAGCCGTGCTATCATAGTGCGCGAGTGGATTTCCAGGATTACGGTACTAGAAAAAATACAGTTCAGTCAAGATTCAACCGTTCAAAACGTCAAGATAGTAACAAACCTGGTCCAAAATTATCGAATGCGGGATTTCAGCTTGAAGTCGCTGGGCAACAGATATATGGCTTTCAGGGGAATCAAAACGGGCGGAGGTGGGAGTGCGAACAATTTCCGCTCCGAGAGCACGAAGAACATCCACCTTCTCGTTGGACATTTTCTCTGGCATGACGATAATTGCGCGATAACCCCTCACGGCAGCCGCCAATGCAATACCAATACCTAAAGCATTACATTTTTAATACTGTTTGTAATATGTAGCATATGCTTGATAAGTGCATCAAGCATACCTGTGTTGCCCGATGTTGGTTCGATCAAAGTATAACCGGGCTTTATGAGTCCGCTTCGCTCAGCCTCTTGTACCATCCGCAGTCCTATCCGATCTTTGACACTTCCCCCGGGGTTTAGGAATTCCAGTTTTGCATCTGCAGAAATACCAGAACGAAAATGTTTGAAGAAACCGCTGGAACACATATTAATATGCCGTACTCACAGATGTCACAATCTAAATCCTTTCCAACTTTGTTAATTTTCACAATTGGGGTGTTCCCGATGCAATCCAAGATACTGTCCAGCGCATGGAAGCCTCGCGGTCTAAATTTGGCGAAGGATTAGAGTGGCTTCTTTTGCGATTACAAATGGATTTCAATGTACTTACGAACTAATGATTTGATGGGGGCTAGTCGTAGGATCTCCATCACGAGCCCATTTACATTTCGAAGGAGCATCCGGGGGAATGAACTCCATTTTCAAAGATGATTTCAACACAGATAGAGAGCTAGCAGAATTTTCAGATTCAGAAGTTCTTGGCGTAACGGGAGCCATTCTTCACCAGGCGCTGAACGCAATGATTCCGCGTATCTGTTCATAAGAGCGAGGTTCAATGAATGTGTTCTTCACACATGCATATACATTATATTTACGGTTTGCTCGCATACCACACAGAAATTCACTCGAGGTTAAATGCACATGCAAGCGTAACTCACCAGCCACCGAAAGCCGCATTAGGAAAGCGCTCATGTTGAAATCCTTTTCAAATCACAGACAAAAAGGACTATTTTTTCAATACTGTATAGCTTGCGTCCCGAAATTGCGGGTGAGATCTGAAAGCAAAATGACGAAGCTATTACCCATCCCGAACCATTCCAGAAAATATAACCGCTGATTGAAAAGGCGATTCACCCCCTTTCCAATAACAAAGGAAAGCATTACACCGAAGCTCACACATTCAGCAATGAAACAAATCCACAACCAAGCAGCACACCCCGTCAAAGTCAAAATAATACTGTCAATTCCTTCCGTCCAACAGGGTTCGATTAATCGTGAATTTCGCTACCACACAACACTCCAGAGTGCTACGCTGGCGAAAACCCGCAATGCTGAAGTCCATCTCGTTCGCAGGGTACCATTTGATTACCAGCAGATTATTACCTCAATATTTTGTGGAGCGGTAGAAAGTGAGGACCAATGTGATGGCTGAGTAAATGAAGAGAATGTCCAACAACAAATTTATTCACACTATACTTCACACAATCAATCCTGAACACAAAGTGGATAGTATCATGGATTTAAAATGTTGAAGTCCCACAGCACATTCTTAATTAAGTACAGTATCGTGTAATGAGTCAGATTCTATCTTGGTCTGGCAACACCAGGTGTGCCCTTCTGGGAGCTCAGGGAAGATCTGAGGATTGGAGGGCGGGTGGACAGTCCTGAAATCGGGAAGATCTAGAAATTCTGAATGATGTCCTAGAAATCAGGGATTGCATCATTCTTCCTTTGCATCCCCTTTTGTATGCCAGCTATTAACGCTTGTAAAGAACAGCTCGGTATATGCTGACTGAACGCAATCTACAGTACAATACGGTGGACGGACTTAGATGGAGGTCATCTCCATGACTGTACAGTACAAAAAGACCATTAATGCTACCTTGGATCTGCAAATGTAATTTCAGAAATAGAAATGAGGATCACTTGCAATACAGTAATAAGGTCAAGCGGATTTAAATTTTTCTAGCCTATTGGGTGCTACCGAAATAAAGCATACATTCGTCAATCAGCATCACAGAATGTACATTAATTACGTGTGAAACAATGAACTATAGATACTGTATTTCACAAAAATTATGCTGGCAAAAATAGCATTTGATCCTCTTTTTTCACACTTCACTAAAAACATTCTCTGACCTGTCGAGAAGAATGAACTGGAAAATTTTAAGAAGTTTGAAGTGCGAAAAAACCGTTCAATTCTCAGCTGAAAACGCATGTATACAAAACAAAAAAACTACTTTTACGAGATCATGTTTTTATTTCCATCGTTTGGTTACAGGCAACACAAAATGACACGCACAGCTCCTACTTTCGCGCACAAATCCCAATGAACCAATCCTTTCTCCGGCGCGCTTATATTTAATTGCCCAATCCAACCATATCGACTCCAAAGTTGTCCAGCACGTTGACACCTCACATTACACTCAGGATTCCTCATCGCTTCACAAGTGCATGTACATCAATTCGACTAGATTCTTTCCTCTATTTTCTTTGGCCACATTTAACAGAGTGGGATTCCAGGAATGGATGGATTTCAATCAAGGGGACTTCCTTCGCCCCCCTTGGCAATAGAGGAGCGATCTCAACACTGAAGATCCTTTTTCTGCTTCTCGTGCCTTTCCGTAGTTTCCGAGACCGTTGCACATCACTTCCAGCCACAGAACACATTGATGAGCTTGCACAGGATATACAGAGACAGAGACGAGGGCTGTTCCATTTCAACGTAGGGCACATTTCTATAATCCCCGTGAATACAGGAACTGCATGTCTTTTATGCGTGGGGTGAATCGGGAAAATGTTCCCTCGACTATTCTCTCTCTGACGAGTCGAACACAATTTTTTCTAATTCAAGATTTCCGAGATCATTCAGCAGTACGAGATTCAAATTTTTTCTCATCCAACGGATTTAACTGTAAACACGTTATCCAAGAAATTTTTCAGAGGGCTTCATCATCAGTTGACCTTTACGCACTTACGGCCAGAAAAGATGCGATGTTGGGCAAAGTGGAAGAAAATTTACAAAAAATCATCAGGATAATGTCTGAATACTCACTCTTCCAAAGCGGACAGATCTCGTTGGCTATGAACTTTTCAAAGATGATGAAACCCTACGCGAAAATACAACAACCCTCGCTGATGAACGTACTCACGCCGCCGAGGTTATGCCAAATTTGACACCGAATTTCTTCACATTTTGTTGTAGAGAAAATTCGGAGAAATTCTCTTACAACCACAATCGTGAGCTTACAGGGTAAATAAAAAAGAAACGGGGACTTAAAAGGGGAAATTGTTCGAAGCACCTGAGAGCCACGCCTTCTCGTCCGAAGACAATTTCATGCATGTAGGGTTATTACTCTAATACATCTGCTGGAAAAATATTGACCAGGGTTCACGGGACTTTTTTTCCAGGGAAGCTCGAAAACAACCAGAAAGACCTATCAATTCTTCGGAACCCGGTTCCCAGCCAAATAACTATGGATTGCCCGAGCTCGATCAACCCCCACACTTGATTCGTTATAAACTCAAATCACAAAATGTTCGAAATGGAAAAAAAAAGAAAAAATCATCCGGCGATGCGTGCAGTTCAGAACAAAAACCGCGTTTTGATCGGAATGATTGCATGAAAACGTTTGAGCGCCCGACAAAAATAACCAGGGATCAAAACATTATTCCCACAGAAACTGATTCTTCTTCCACAATCAGAGATCCAGCTAAATGAGTCTTGAATCACGGGAACGAAATTAATCAAACGGGGGAAAACCTAACATTAAGGCAAGTGCGACTCGCCATATAGCCCACGCGGTCCATAGGAAGCAATCCACAGTTAAACTTCCCTCTAAATGGGATGAATGCCTTTTTACAACCATTCATTCAACTGATCTGGAAACTGTGCACTTTGAAACGAATCAAACTTTCATCAATAAAATCTACCGTATTCTCTCATCCTCGCCTTCCGATGTTTAAACTCCTGAGATAGTGTATGCCATTGTTTTCCTGGAAAAAGCAATTCACCATCAGGAGCGCGTGAGAGCTTTCTGAAAAATTCTTCGAATCACGTTTCAACCACCATTTCAGTCCGATGAAAAATAAACACCCGTCAGCAGAAACTTCTTACAAGAAATGCACCCATTCTGCTCAATAGATAATCAGAAAAAATTATATTAAGATTTTTTTCTTGTGCTGGAATTTCCAACAGAAAATTACGGTGTAGGACTTTTTAAATCAGATATTAAAAAAAAAGATTAAATGAGTGCTCAAGTAGGAAAGCTACATATTTTAAAACCGTTGCTAATCGGGTGATAACAGGTTTTTGGATCAAAACTAATGTCACAACGATTTTTCCAACGAATGGTACCGAAAACTGAGTCTAGGAATGAATGGACCAAAGGGTCATTCGTGAAGAAATGTTCGCTCGAATCAGAGGATCATGACCGGAAAAATGGAAGCATGGCACTTTTCGAGGAATTTTCCTGATGCTACGTACATCTTGACATCGGAGGCTGCAAAAATCCTTTCTAATAAGTTATCTCGATCAATAAAAATTTGACGATCAGGTTTCATCCGTTTAAAACAAAAATTTGGCGGCGACTCGAAGGACTTTCGATAAACTTCTCATGCCCGTCATACCAATGCTGGAAGAATGAAAAATGAGAGACCAGTTTCAAAGAGCACTGCTTCCAGAGACGCTCACGTAGCCCGTCTTTTTCCATCTCACTGAAATATATACATTTAGCTACGTTCCCCAAAATCTACGGACTGCAGTCGTTTCAACAGCCACAAATCTAACGCAATTAACTCACGCTCCGCCCTAAGGTCCTCACCACCACTTCTAACACAGGTTAGTATGAGTCAAAAGGAGATGGGATGGGCCAGCCTTTCCCTTCAAATCACAGTCAATCTACCAGTATCATCCCAGTTACAGTTGCTCTGCTTGAGCTCAGCGCCAAATGGTAATCTTGACTTCATTTTTTTCCTTCCGTAAAAACGACAGACAGAGCTAATATGTGGCAAGAATAGACAAGAGTCGTGTAAGTTTTTTCTTCGATCGTTCCACCGAATTTTCAGGGAATTATTCGAAAAACCAGCACTCGATCGTCAGGATGACGAAATCGTTGTCGGCGGCCAAAACGTCGTTACGGAAAGTACTGCACACGTCCGTTCTTCCGTGGTTCAAATCCCCGTCCAAAAGAAGGCCGAAGTGTCCACTAAAAGAATGAAGGCATCCATAACGCACGGATACAGTAATCGCAAAAATCGCATTATTTTCAACAACCTGGGTGAGCGCAAAATCGCCCCCAATAGGGCTACGTGAGAAAAACTCCACATACGGTAAATCGCTGAAGGCTTTTCCATGGAATAAATTAATCGAGTATTCGCATAAGATTCAACAAGCTAAAAAATCAGGATTTGAGCATGAAGAAAACTCAACGTTTTGTGCGTTCTTAATCTTCAGTGAGTGCACACACTGTGCGGTCAAAATTAAACTTTTTTGGCCCAGCACAAAAAAAAGAAATCTAATTCATTTCATGAAAATTCCTCAAAATCCTGACAACCTCCTTATGCTACTGCAGCAACGTGCGTGAACGCACACAGAGAACCGAGAAATAGATGCAAATTGAGATGATTATGGCGTAACTTAGAAGTGCAACTGTGACTACCGGTGACATCTATAAATGCCAAAGATTTTTCAATCATTTGCAGCGATTGTCTACTTACTCCCCAGCACCAACGGTCAGCGAATCTGGCTGACTCCTGATGAAGAAAGAATTTTCACCCGACCACTTGAATACCCTGAAATGCTTGCCCATGTTCATCTTCGCTTGTTCATCCCGAACTGCTTTATTTTTTGCATCAGCGTCCTTGTCCTCAATCTCAAGTTCACCTTCAGCTGCACCAAGTTTCCCACATTCCACGGATTCTTCTTCCGCAACAGCTATTTCTTCCACTTCTTTGCCAATTGCATCCCCATTTTCTGGTTCCGTTTCTTCAGCCTTCTCTTCAACACGTGGCGGGGTGAAGGAGAATACAAAGCTTTCTCCCGTTCCGTAAAAATGATCTTGAAGCGTAGGAGCATCGGATAACAACGCACCAAAAACCTATATAAAAAAGGAATAATGGAATAAATTCCACTGTTTGCAAAAAAGCGGAAACCTCGAATGACCTCCATTGTCGCCGGCAATGAGTATCGTCCGGTTTCCGCGAAAAGTAATGAAAAACAAAATATTTGAAAAGATTTGTAAGCAATTTTTGAATATCACTGCATAATAATCTGTTCTGGATATCCAAACATTCCTCCTGAAGAGAAGAATCAAATTTTCGGCCACCTCGACTCTGCAGATAGTCATAGCCTAGACTTCCTTCTCAGACCAGAAGGAACAAAAAAAAATCGATGGATGTAAAGGTGACATCCCTTTTTCTTGAACTGTCAGCAAAATCGAATGAAAATAAGTTCATCACGAGAGGAAAAAAAAATTCCTTCCGCTCGCGCTGATCCGAGAATACAAAATTTACATTTTTGCTTTTAATTTGCCACTGAAATCTCCACGATATTTCCAGAATACAGCATTAATTTGTATTTTCAGTCCTGGCAGAACTTATGTTGACGAACAAGCAACTCATCAACGAAGATATTCTCTAGAAGATCGTTGCACAGTCCACTGGAACCTGACATTCGCCCAACCAACAATCGAACCACCATTAGACACTTTTGCCATATGCGCTGTCATCAAATTTCACCGCGAAAACGTCATGAACCAAGTAACTTCATGTGAAAACTTACATTATGTTGTGTGTCTTGTATCATAAGCAGTACGCATGAGTCAACGCATTCCATCTTCCTGTAGAGACTCGCCAAAGAAAATCCGTCCCTGGAAGTACTAAAACCGAGTCGCCAAGGATACCCTGTAAAAAAAAAAGCAGAAACAAATTACAAAGCAAGCTCAGAACAGCTTTGAATATGCATCGAACCGAACCTTGGCATCTCGCAGGAATGACGCGAATCAAATGCTTCCTTTGCTGCATGTTAAATATTTCCGAATCACCAACAAGTTCAGGAATGAACTCGTCATCAGTGTTGGATCCGTGCAACGCTTGCTGAACTTCATCTTCACTCGCTGATACGACCTATGACCCAAACAACGATCATAATAACAAACTAGGAATACACAACCGACGAACACACTCCAGATATTTTAAAATGGTACTCCAATAGAAATGTTGAATTCAGCTTCAGAAGTCAAGAGAAAAGCTTCTCCAAAAAGAATTGAAGGCAGCCTTCGACATAAGATCATTCCAAAATGTACCCCGTTCGAATACCATGATATCTGATTAAAAATACGATAAAACGGGAAAAATTATAAGGAGATCAAGAAAATCTGCGAGGCCATGCACCGCAAAAAGGCATAAGCGTAGCGGCAAGAGATAGAAAACCGAGAATATTCCGCATGCAGTAGAATCCATCACAGACCCGTAGGATATTTTTAAAGTTCATGTGATATTTTAAGAATTAAATCACAAAAAATGTCGAAGAGAAGCATAAAAGTATTTGAGAATCAATCCCAAACCGATTATACAGTACGACAAAGTTAATCCTAACGGACTTGGTTACAGATCACGATCGAAGGCTGGTTCAAAAGCTTTTGAATACCTTGATTTGAATTTTTTTCAAGTTTTTGAGTCAGAATCCTCTAGATCCCTTCGGTACTATTGATAAGACTTGGCAAACGAACTCAAGTTTTCTTCACGTGTTGGTTTTAGTGGAAATTTGACTTGAGCAACTTTCAGCTCATCTAATAACATTCCAGGTAGTCTTCAACATTAAATATCAACATGAAATTAGCAAAGATGCAGTACTGTACTTCAAGTCATTCCCTTGCTTAAGGCTGTCTGTCGTCTAATATGAGAATCTCACTAAGAATATTTGTCAAGCATTTGAAATATTTTATTGCGATGGGACTGCGTACAAATACACACAATATGTAAGTTTGGAAATTACAGTACCGTACATCTTATTTCCTTCAATAGTTAGTCCACCTTATTCTTTTCTACATTATGACTAGGTGACAAAATTTGGATCACAGGTTTATAGAAAAAAAGAAAACAGACGAAAAATTATTACATAAAAATTAAAATACATGCATACCACGTGGTTCTCATTGAAAAATCACATGACTGGAAAAACTTGTGAACCAACCCCTCGCAATATACAGTAAATTATCATCCGATTCAATATTATTCTTTAAGAAGGAAAAAAGTTGATGAAACGGTTGAATCAAGAACATTATATAAATTTGAGACGGACTTGCGACCACCAGGCGCTGCGCACATTCTTCTCGTACGGCTCAATCTCGAACGCGTGTTCCAGGGATGATAGGTTTGGCCGCGGTGCTTTCGTTCGTACAAGACTGTACAGTCTCGTGTAAGGGGCCTTGATCATCTGCAACACCAGTCGCCGATCGCCAAGGCAAGACAACAGACAAGCATAAAGAAAAGCGAAAATGTGTGATCTCATTCGATATGTGTGAGAGGGAGAGAGGAAAAAGCTAGCAATCGAGAGAAGTATTGGCAAGAAAAAATATACCATAGAGTAAGGATTTTAGACAGGAATAAATCAAAGCGACGAAAAAAATCAAGTTTCAATGCAAAAAAAAAGCCAAGAAATAACTGACGTTTTTCCTGAATTTACATTAATTCTTTTCAAGCTTAAAAAGTTCGAAGAACTTACTCGATTCAAACCGTTCTTCAGAAAAAGAATCATCAGAAAATGAAATGTTTTTCAAGATGCGAACAAAATGAAAAGGAACAAAAAACCTGCGTAATACGCGGATGAGAAACTCTCGACGCGATAGTCATTGCCCAAGTCCGCGCTTTAGCTCCAGTCCCGTAAATCGTAGAATTCGCTCCCGGTGCTCTCGTCCAAGGATTAAAACGACGAAACTTTCCAAAAAATAATTGAGACAAAAAACTAAATCGAACAACGAAAAAAAAAATCCAATCGAAGAGACAAACCCACCAAGGAAAAAAAAAGAAAAGGGGGGAAACTGTGCCATGAAACGTTATTTCAAGAGGAAAAGATCGCCAACGCTTTCACAGCCAAAAAGTACTATCCGAAAAAGAAAATATCGCAGGAAGCGAAACCTCAGAAAAATAAAGTTGAAAAATAGAACACGTTATAAAATGGTGAGACGGCTGAAAAATTTTGGATGCAAGTATGAATCTTTCAAAAACACCCAAAAAACCAAACCGGAAAATAAGAAAGTACATATACCACCGGATTTTGAAAAAAGTACTAATTCTGACCTCCCAAGACTCTTTCAAGTCCCCTATGTGCGAGCTGGCATTATCAGCGGCGCTCATCCCACGTCCATCTTCCTGTCCGTCATTTTCCAAAAGCAGTTCCTCCTCAACAAGATCCATATCATGGTCAGCCAAATACTTCTCGTTCACTTCTCCGTACAAATCTGGCATCCAAGTCCGCAAGAAGACGTACAATTCCTCAGCTCTGTAAAAAAAAGTTCCGCAGCAGTAAGTAAAAAATAATAGACGCTACATAAATTGTTCGTCAACTGAATCAGGGTTTTCACATTTTAATGGCGACAGTGAAATTTAAAAGCTCATTTTCTGCGAGGAATGTGGTTGCTTGCATCATTTTTCCCATGCAGAATTTGCATATACCAGAAATTTCAACAAAATTGATCGTGTTGGGAGTGTCAGAATCTCATGCAAAATTCCGTTTCAAAGGGAAGCCCCCATCGACATAAAACTCACCAACATCTCAACTCACTGAACAGATCTTTACCATTGAGGACGAGATTAAATTTTGATATGAACTATTAAAAAAATAAAATACAAAACGGGGGAAACTGTGAAGTCCAACTGCCGATGTGAGATTCACAAGGCTGACATTTTTCTTGGGCTTTTTCATTTTCTTTTCTCCATCACTAACCTGGACTGAGGCACCAAAAACCAATATTCCGGCAAAACTTTCCGCACGCCATAGGCCACGACAGGAGTCGAACATGGGATCCTCTTGTTTTTTGGTCGTCCGGTACGCAAACAAAGATACAACGGTGGTTCGACTGTCCAAGCTGGGGTCGTCATCTTCGGCAATAATTCTACACGGGAAAAGTTGAACAATTAATCAGACCATCAAAAATAAGCATTTTAATGCAGAAAATTTTTTTTTTCCGGATTGGCTGCGCCCATTTCATACGAGTGTCTCATTTCCGCACGCAGTTGGAGAATAAATTACAACCACTTTGGTATTTCAAGCAATTATTCATAGGTATTTTAAGGTGCTTTGAACACGTTTCTCAGCACTTCTGATTCAAGATCTGCACGTCCACAAAGGACAATTCCATCACTTCTTCAAACTCAAATTTTAAATTCCGAATGATGTAACTTACGACCTCTTAACGGAGACCATTTGGGGCATCGTTTTGAGAAATGTGGTATCATAGAGACCTATAGGGAATCAAAGAATATCACAAACTCCAAAATCGGGTGATTAACTAGTGGGCGATGAAGTTTTGTTTTCTTAGAAAAATCGTGTGGGTAGACTTTTCTCAAAAAGAGAAGCCAGAAAATCATCCGCAAAATATATCGGGTGCACTCTGATAACCTAAAATGCTCTATTTCTGCTGACAATCAGTGGAACATTTAAAATCTGACTGCGCGTCATGAAATAAAACAACCCACTTATTTGACACGGGAGAATTTCGCTCAAGGAATCATTCGTATTCTCGTGGTTGGGCTTATTCGACGCGTAAATTTATATGAATCGTAAAGTAAAGAAAATAACAAACTGTCAATAGAAGCGAAGAGATCCGGCATATCGTCCATGGACATAACATTCCTGTAAGTCAACTTTCCGGCGTCGCCACTTTCCGAACGTGAATGCTCAGCTTTTCGTGTCCCAGTCTCACTCGACTGACTCCTATTCAACAAGAACCCAATTCTCATCAGTCCGATCATTCAAAATCTGAAAATGTTCACAGGCAAACAATTGCTGCGTGAGTTGCAACAAGCGCAATAATATGTGAAGAAAAAGTTAATCCAATTTCCACAGTGTAAATCACGACGAAAAGGATTGTGGTCAAACTGTTCACAACGCTGTAACACAAAAAAAGAACGCCTCCTGTATATGAAGCAGTGCACATCAAACAAAAATGTTGGGAAGAAATGTTGCTTGTATTTAAAACATTGTCCGTTCATGTGAAAACAAAAAAAAAGTTTGCACAACAGACCCACAAAAACTAGAATCAAAAATGCTCAACTACGCCAAACGCTGCTTTCCGACATACGTTTCCAAGGAAACTTTCCGGAACCCTACGACACTTTCCCGCGTGAACTGCGTACACACTAAGTTCTGCGTAAAGAAAGGTTGTCCTTAATAACGTGACAACTAACGCAAAGTTTCTCGTTGTCAAGTTCTCCAAAAAGGTGCCCCGTTTTCCATAAAACAAGCTCGCCTTGACCACTGCAGCTGAGATGCCAACTTATTCTTAGCTGCTCTTCCCTGCTTCAGGCGGCTTCGCAGACACAAGACCATCACACGACAGAAAGGGTGATATAAAATATTCAAAAAATAATAATAGTAATAATCACGCATCAGGAACAAGAGGCATAAAAAGGTCATGCGGTGAAACTGGTGAAAACAGATGTCCTTCTGTTCACAAAAATTACAAAATTGAACATGTTTTTCTATCTCAGCTGAACTTTTCCCACTCAACCGAATGACCTTTCAATTGCGATGCAAGGGGTGCCGCGAGAGTTGAGCGCGTCCCAAAGCAGCGTATGTACAAAAAAGTGCGACAGAGAAATTATGCACAAAGATAACATCACAGAAGTACGCGGATTGGTCAAGTTTCATCAGGCTTTTGCCTTATTTCAGTCTCGTGGATGGAAGGAGTTGAACGTAATTTCTTGAATAAATTCAAATTTCAAATTGTAATGGAGAGGACAGAGTTGGAAGGGCACTTCGTAAACGAGAAAATTGTACTTCACTCGCAATATTTTCACGTTTTTGGAATTTTAAAAACACAGTAATCCAAGCGTAATTTTTTAAATAATTGAAATACTTTACAGTCCTGACTTGAGCAATTTTGCGTTCGTCGAGCGAAACGTTAGTCTCTTCCTAAATGATAACGAGCAAAAAGTCGGTCAAGTCCGGAGCTATACTGAGGAGAAAATCATCATCAAATGAGAAAAGAATTCCTCCAAGTTCAGTCAAGTATCAAAAGTAATTCGTGAGATTCTGAAACGGAAACGTGGATACCCACAAAACTTTATGCAAGAGATCTAGTGTGCACAATGTGCGAGTGAATAGTCATTCTAAAAATCAAATACAGTACAGTACAGTACTGCATATCTAATTTAATCCGGTACTGAGATCAAATTGTGCTCAATCAGGTGTTTTAGAGTCAGGGAATCCACGAATCTTTCCACAGACGAGAAAACTGTAAATTTAAAATAAGCAGTTTCCAGCGCCAGTGCTTTCAAAGGCAAAGGACCGACACAACTTGGGAACTTTTTTCACGCTTCTTATTCGACGATTCATGCTTCACATCAAATCGCCGTTTTCAACTGCCGCTCTTTTGGAACGCGCTCAAGCGTTTGCGGTCACAGGATGCAAGTCAGTAAGTAAGTCATCGAGTCATAGAAGATAATATATGTATATGTATATATATATATATAAGGGCAAGCACAAGCAAGGCTGGATTGCAAACGATGTGGCGGCTGTTCTTCCTTTTTCATGCAAAAACCTCGAGTGCGGATCAGTTGGCCGCGCGGGTTTTTCATTTCTTTTTTCGGTTTTCCTCACCCTGATCCGCGCGATGGCGACCCGCAACCGGTCTTCGACTTTCCACCATCTTGCGTCGGGGACCCAAGGCCCAGCGAAAAGGACACGATCGGGTCCACCACTGCCTGGCCCAGCTCTTCCACCTTCGCCACGCTTTTTAAACCGAGATGTCAAGTGAAACTAACGAACCTTTCCTCGTACCCTTCTCTCTTTCTTTCTTTTTTTCTCTCTCTCTGTCTGTCTGTCTGTAGAGCCTCTGTATTACGCTACAGGAGCACCCGGAATGGGTCCTCGATCAATGTGAGGTTGCGAAGATAAATACTGTGGTAACGACTTCCGAATCATTTGACTTTTCGAGTCACGGCACGAACACTCGAATATAAATACAGTAGTTGGAGCAAGAGACGCATGGTAAATCAATTTTTAAAAAAACATTCGCTTTTTTCCCGCGCAACCAAATTGAATCACAGAATACTGCCCCGTGCTTCCACAAAAATAAGACACTTGAAAACACGATGATTAGTCGCCTAAGAAGGCTTAGGAGATACAACTTTTTCACGAATGATCAGGTAAATAGATTCGAATGATTTAGTCGGATTTTCAAAAACAGTAAAATTGCAAGGACAACAAATCCAGTATTTCGGATTCAAACAGAGCTTCTTTATACAGAGTTCATAACTTTTCTTATCAAGAATCCAGTATTATGGTTATAAACGTCATTTAAAGTTGTGTGAGAAAGCTGGCCATGAACATGTAGACAAATGCTTCCTCAAATGTTTACACAGGACAGGAGGGACAGGACTGAATCTGCCATGTTTTTTTTTTTTTACATACATCCTTCTGCAAACACAGAAAATTATAATGCATTTGTCTATCGCGCTGGATTGGAACGAAAAAATTCGACCGACATATCGTCACGATTTTGAAAACCGCTCGAAATTTTAGTCTAGATTAGAGTTCATTTTAAAGATAGACTTGAACAGATGGAGTCTCTCTGCAATGATATTGGAGGTACTGTACTTATAAAATACGTAATCGTAATAAATGCGTAGAGAAAATTCTTTCGTTAGAAAAAAATGAAAGGGACAATTTCTTGTTGTTGCGGAATTGCTTACAATGTACAGTACTGCTTTTATCGTAAATTTGATTGTGTCTGTTCGCTTGACTAGGTCACATTTTCAGGGAAACACGTTTACGCAAAGTGAAACACTCGTCACGCGGGGAAAATCAATGAGTGGGAAGCTTTTGTCCGAATCATTTGGCCTCGTAATTCCTCCACTTCGATTCCGAATCCATTATTAATCCAATCGAGACCATGCCACACGTATCGGTCTCAATGACCTAAAGTAACCTTCCAGATCATTCAGAGGCGAAGAACCCCCAAACCCATGATGTTATGACACGTTTTCCAATTCAATCAAGGAGGTATACTGTACATAATGAGCATTAAAATATCGGAAAATTTTTCCTATTTGAACATTTTTTCTTCTTACCTAGAGAACATCTTAGAGAACACGGTGGCGGACAGAGACGGGGAATGGTGACCCTGTGCAGTGTGAAGCGGTGAGGACAGGCTGGAGTTGGTGGGCGGGGTATTGGGGTGCGACGAATTTTGTGAATCCATGGAACCCAGACTGTCGATCCACTGTAGCGGGTTCGACAGCCGCTTCAACACCTTTTGCTTCTTCGACTCCTGGCGTTCCAGGCCCGGCGGTGGGTGGACCGGCGGGGTATGGCACGGGGACTCGGGCTCTCTATCGTCTCCGCTGATGCTTTTCAGTATCTCTCTGGGGTTCAGACTAAAGACAACAATAACAAAAAAACCAACAGGAAACTCAATTAGCTACTTTTGTTCAATAGACCACGCTGATGCAGAAGAAATACAACTACAATTTTTAGGCAGCCACAAGCGAATCCGATAATGCCGCAAAAATTCGAATATTGGCCGCAATAGAATTATTTTCTCCAACCCAAGAGTAAGTGATACGAAATTCGCTTTCCCACAGTAAGCAAAAAAAAAGAACAGCATGCTGATTCTTGGAATTGTTTTACCGAGAATTTCAATACCAGAACCGAAGGTCGTCGACTCCGTACGACACTTGTCCCCAAAAACAATATTCTGCATAAAATGTATTTCTCTGGTACTCACAAGATTTCTATGAATGGCCAATGAGCTCTCGTTAGCGGAAGTTTCCCCATACGGATTCATTTTTTGATTCCCTGAAGATCGGTGTAATGAGAGTCCGATTGTACATTACTGTAATTATCCCGCGTCAATTTTTTTCTTCGAAATACTCAACTGACGTGATGACTCAGAAAATCCTTCCGTTTAAAAAAAAATATTTTCAAAAAGTTGGGCTTTGAAAATGCTCAGTGAAACATATATATTTGATAAAAATAGTCCAAAACGAGAAATAATGAGTTTTACGCAATGATCAACGTTTCATTCAATGAAAAAAGAACTACTCCTGAATGGCCACAAAATAATCTTTCAAGGAACGTCTCGAGATACAGTATGAACAGCCACAATTTTACAGAATGTGAATCAATCATGTAGCTAAATTGAATAATTAGTTGATGACTTGATATCCATGACAATACTTCCGTCATCGTAATCGTTCAACAAGTGATTTGGCGCATTCTTTCGGCGAAATGCAAAGAATTAAACAATGGTCGACGAAATAGAGTGAAGAGACGACATGCCTGAACAACATGCTGCCAGAACCGGATGAACAAGTGGAGCTTGAACGTTTCGGTTCCGGCTTAATTTCAACTGGAACTCTTTTTGGTGAATCCAAAACGGGCTTCGTTGGCTGAGGAGCAATTGTGGCAGTGTTGGTTGAGCTTTCTTGAGCCTTTTCTTCGGATTCGTCCCTCTTCTCTGACACAGTTTCGTCGCAGACAGCTGCTTCAAGATGAATAGATGGATCTCGTCTGATCGTTCCTTTCCCGTAGTATATTTCACCTTTCTCTCGTCTAGACCTGCAGAAAAGGAAAAAGTTAACCAGTGTACAATACTGACTAAAATCGTCTCTCAATTCAACAGCTATGCAGAATCAATCAATTCAGATACCCTGCAAACTTAAATGGATCATGTAATCATTAAAAATAAATAAATGACCCTAGAATTTTTACTTACCGTGGCTCTGAGGGTTGTTAAAAAATTATTTTTCAAAATCTCAAGGCTTTGCTGACTAAGAAAATCTGAAGAAGTGTAAAACAAGATGAGGCGAAAATTATTGTTCTTTTTTATTGTTGCCCTTTCGATTTTTTAGCAACAGAAAAAAAATGGGTGGAAAATTTGTAAACCCACGGATCATATTTTCCATCCTTTGTCTTGGAATGCACCATGTCGAAATAAATCGCAGAGTTGACAACGAGTTCGAGGGGCGCAATTAAGCCGTATGCTTCAGCGCCGTTCTCAATCACGAGCGGATCGGAAACGTTGGGGTCAAACATGACAGCGTTGGGCGTCACAAGCAAAACTCCGTCCACGACGCCCTGTCCGTCCGAAACGTGTCGCACGTGAAGTTTCAGAAATTTTTCCAAACTATCCCGATCCAGGTCGTCTGATTCTCGGCTGAGTTGTCGACTTCCTGAGCCAGACGACAGCGAGGATCCCAAACGCTCGCTCCTTCCTAAAATATTGATGAATGAACTATAACTTAGTAGGAAAAAATTCCCCTACGCAATGTATGCAGAAGATTATCAAAGAACGTGGAACGAATAGGCCACACTATGCGGCTTCACATCACTCTCTCAATGCAGTACATTTTTCAGATGATGAACTTCAAAAAAATTATCACATGAAAAGTATTATTGTTCTAACCAAAATTTCAATGAGCATTCGTAAAAATTGAAGGATTTTTCGAAATGGGTAAATTAGGCTTGGCTTCTTCGTAAATTTAAGATACCACTACTGAGTAGTTTTTCTCCGATCACGGCAAAAAAAAAAAACAATACACTGAGCATTGTGGTAAGATTACACACCACGCCCTCAAAAATCCATACGAGTAACCCAAGAAAACAATACGGCAGATGTTAATACTGTAATCCTAATCTGAAAGCGGCCGCCTTCGTTGAAAGTTCCGCTTGTGAATGGGATAAATTCTCGGATTTGCAACTCCAACGGATTACCGTAGTTCGATTTTACATAATGGGATGATAAATTCTGTGAAGGTGGTCTCACGCTCTAACAGCAACACTCGCGGAACCAAGGAAATAACGGAGTAAGAACTCAACTGTGAAGAAGCTGAATTTACATCGGAAAGCAAGCTGTTCATAAGAACAAAATACTGAATTGTGCAATTCTTTTCAATGAATTCATGAAAAAAAATTCAAATCTAGGTGGACTATCTCTACGACGATTTCATCTGAATAAGGATTTTTTTGGTCCAGTAGGATTACATTTTCATGTTATAGGAGTTCTGTACAACGAAAATCTGTCTTCAAAGAATTTTTTCTAGTCCCTTGATGTTCGTCGTAAAGATTCCACCTGTCTCCATTTTGCTAGGCGTCCATACACACAATGGCGGACGCCTCGCGCAAAAAAAAAAAAAAAAAAAAAAAAAACCGGGATTATCGAACAAAAACCTAAAGAAAAAAAAAAAAAAAAAAAAAAAAAAAAAAAGAAGCCGGGATTATCGAACAAAAACCAGGGACAAAGCAAGAGTAAATCACTACTTCAGAACCTTTCTCAGAAGGAGAGTTTGACACATCTTCGGGATTGGCATCCCCGCCGGCGGCCAGGATATCGACGCAAGGCGTCACTGTTGTGGCAGGAGTCGGGCCTCTCGGCACTTTCAACGTCTGGCCGGGAAACACAACGTAGCGAGACGACAAGCGATTGGCTTTCGCAAGCTCCGACGGTGTCAGTCCGAACTTGGCAGCCACGCTGTTGAGCGTATCCGCATTTTGAACCTATAGTAATCCGACGCATACATTGAATACGGAATTCATTCCTTAATATATTCACTCCGGTTTAACGTTTTCAATTGCTTACAACATAGGTGGGCAAATCCGCCACATCCAGTCCGCCGGAGGATCCCATTTTTACGTCTTTTCCTTCTTGCTCACCGGCACCTACCACAACAAAACGAAGTGAACTTAATCGAAACAGTTTACCTTCACTTTCAATGTGAGAAAAATAACGTTTTCAACTGCGAGTCGAAAACGTTATACAGTACTTAGGAGTTAGTACACAATATTGTAAACACAACACTGAACCACACATAGAAATCCCCACGTTCGCCGATGGCAAAAACGCAAAGAAAAAAATTAAGAATCAGTTTCGATCTAAGAAAAAATGAAATTTTCAGCATTACAAAAATGGAAAAGGTACGTTGAATACGCTTCTATTTCAAATCTTGAAACAACAAAACTCAACGGCACGTTAAGTGTATTTGTTATTTTAAGGACATGTCTAGACCACAATTCTTAGAGAGATCTATGTTGAAGGTACAGTAAATAAGAAGCAACACGCTGCGTCACTTCGAACACTGTAGATCCACCACTCGGCAAACAATTTCAACAGAAAAATCCCACCATCAACCAAAAGAATTTAATTCACAAGACAAGAACACCTCTCAGCTGCAATGCAGGCCACAACAAAAAAACACACACACACAACATAGCCCTCAACACAAGTCCATGAGCGTTTGCCACCAGTAAACGCGAAAAAAAAAACATTCTTCCAGTACGAAACCACGCCGCAGCCCGGAGGAATTAAGGACACCTACATAGGAGGTCTCACTTATTCTCACACCACATATACAGATGATGTAAAATCTGAAGGGCAAGGGACACCTCCCCACCCCAAGGACAGACACTGCGTCGTCGACAAATGATCAACACTCGACGCAGGCCCCCCGATTAACCCTCATCAGTCGCCACGGAATCCACCCTTTTCCGCGCCGGGATCAAAGCAAAAACGGTTTGGGAGCGGAGCGATAAATCCATTACCTCATGAATCACCCGGCCGAGTCCTGCGCTTCTCGGATTTCCCAGGACGCAAGGGGGGGGGGGGGGGTCGACGACGAGTGGGAGGCACAGGCAAAAGGGGAAATAAAGAAGCACCGTGGCTCAGTTCCAAGAACATGCCTCAGGGACGGAGAGAAGATTCCTGGCATTGTCATCTATTCAACAAACGCTGGGCGCGGATATATATTGTGTATACAGTATATATATATGGAAGCAGTGGTCGGTCGAGGAATTCCGACCGGGGAAATCACGAGAGTGGTGCTGGAAACATGCATGCTTGGGCGAGGCAGGAGAGGATACGGGATATGTTGACACGTATGCATTGGAAGGAAAGGAGTAGGGAGGAAACTTCCCGCACAATCGGAAACCCTACGGCAACGGTGTCGAGTCCTCTTCCCCAGCCTGGTGATACCCTCAAGCATCAGTCTGCAAGCATATAGAAAAGATTTACCTAGCCTTACAGAAAAAAATATATATTTCAGCGCAAGAGGATAGTTCTCCGTTAAGCCCCCGCTTTCCCCAATTTGCGAACGTCTGGCAGGTGTAGCCTGAATCATTCGCCTCATCAAATATGAATATTCGAAGTGACCCAGTACAAACCAGGGTTGTTAAAAAATGTACCGTAGTCCATCAACGAACACAAATCCAGGCCGATTACCGTACATTAAAAGCGAAAACCAGAATACAGTATAATTTTTCACCAGGAATTACGGCACACATAATTCGTAATTATGAGCCAGATTGCCACATAAAAGCAAAAAACACAACAACGTAAGAAATGTAGTGATCTAGTCGCCCATGCGATTGATAAGCAATGAATAATTGCAACAAAATTGAACAAATTAATGTTTTTTAAACTGCAATAAAACTACTCATCAGTGACGGCCTGCGAAATTACTGAATAGGAGCCTTCAAAGCTTCATTTCAAGTTCCCCACAAAATTAAGAATAAATTTGAAACATAGTTTCGTTGGATCGTTGTTACAGTCGCATATATGATCGAAAAGTTAAAAGATGGTCGAATTTCGGTAAGGAATTTTCAACAGTTGATGGCAATGTGATGAATACTTCGTCGAGAGTTGTGAAGGCGAGACACGACTTTGAACTTCGTCATGAAAATTCCAGTTATGGTGAGAATTTATATTCTTGATGCAGCGTAACCGAACTCTTGACCTGACAACAAACATTAAATTCAACGACGAAACATAATAATACATATGAGCTACGAGCGACACATATTCCTTGATGAATAAAATTATCGATTCTGAGAGTATGTCACAAGGCCGTGGCATAATCTTTCGTAGGTCAACCACAGTACTGTATTGCACAGTTTATGAACAAACTCATCAGATCGAGGTTTAACGGAGCTGAACAGGAAAAGAATAAATTTCAAAAACAAGAGAGAATTTGATTACGCAATCCCCAAATGGTTCAATTGGGTTGATTACCCCATCAGGTAACGTGAAATCAACATTTCTGGACAATTTCCATATTTCCGAAGCCTGTATAGATGATGAACAATGCATGATTTCGTGAGAAGTGCAGCGTATCTCGGGGGCATAAAAAATCCAAGAAATTTCTCGGAAGGATACACCACCCACGGAAGGTGTCTCCCAACGGTTACACCGGAAAAAGAAACTTCGTGGCACCGGACGGGATCCTCAGGACGCATGCGTCAACCAGGAAAAAAGGGGGGAACCTGCAGAGGGGTTCTCCAGGCAGCCTTACCCCTGGCACACATCCAATGCCCCATTCCCCGCCGCACATACGCGTCCACAACGCAGTAGGGAAACGATACTACACAGCCGGCCGTGGAATATATACTATATACTGTACAGAATATATATATAACACACACACACGCAAGAGTGACCAGGGGCACATGAAAATGGTCATCACTTGCCTACCTCTTGACATATTTGGGGGACATACAGTCGCATTGGAAGGGAAAAGAAAGCCGACGGCTGGGACCTCATCAATCACTCACCGCGTGGTCCGAAGGAAGGAAGCAGAGGCGGGCTCGCGCCACCCAATGGCCTTGTACCGGCTTGGTCCATGCTTTTACTCTTATTCCTGCGAATGCATTTCCGAGATTGAGTCAGCCGACTTTCCATGAAATCAGATTCCTAGTTACCGTGAAATCTGATTTCCCTTCCTTCTCAAACAACCCCCAACGCACGTGCCCCGAAACATCGCATCCTAATCACGTTTTCATCGGGCGTACGTACCACTCTTTTTTTTTTTACTCCCGAACTGTCGAGATAATAAACTTCAACCACATCAAAAACAATATCAGAGACAAATTTCCTGCTTTTCATCAATAAATTGCGTCTCGCTTAATAGAGATGCCCTTTTAGCCCTTCCTTAGAAACAATAGTCTCTGTCATTTGCAGAATAATTTTTGCCAGAACTGGAGGAGAATATTATGCAATTAAGTCTAAAAGATTTCGGGTTTTTTACGAACTAGTCTAATTGCGCTTTAGGCATTGGTTTTAGTTGAGTCAGGTATACGTCAGACAAAGCTATTTCCCATCAGTTGGGTGTTAGGCTAGGTTTGTAAGCTTTGTTCGGAATTAGGACAGGTCAAGTCTTGAGCCAAGTTAGGTTATCAGAGGTTACCATACGTTAGAATAGCAGAGTTAAGACTAAAACGGATAGGTTAGATAGGTTGGAGGTTCAGGATTTTAGATAATTGGATTAGTTTTGGTGAGACGGTGTAAAGGTCTTGTCACAAAAGTCGAATTTTCGTGGGACAGTTGTGATAAATGGATGCACACAGCTCTTCAACAAATATTCAACGCGTAATTTCAAGACTCAATGTTTAAATTCTTGGAGTCTGCAAGTTATAGAACAAAACATAACTGAAAAATAATCAGCTTAATCCCTCAAATGTTTGCGACATTATCCTTGAAAAGCTCTAAATCAAGTTAATAAAGAAAATGGGATAATGGAAAATTCCTAACATGCTCACGTTATCAAACTCAAGGTCAGATTCAGAAAATGTGCTATTGATTCATCGCGACAAAAAATTTACTTGGATTGAAAAATCAAATGCGAACAAAAACTTACTGCCAAGCAAGACCGTGAGAAATGCCATCTCGCAAGCGGTCCTTGAATGAGCGCTGACGAGTAGGCCCTTGTCCTGGTTCAGGACTTTGGCTCGGGTCTCCGACGTTCCTAATTCCTCCGAACATCTGCGTCTCCCATTAACTGAAGCTAAAAATTAATCTGAACAAAAGTAAGAAAAAATTTCTCCCACATCTGTAAACAAAACGCCAGGTCAGCCCATTAAAAAGTAAATTGCGCATTATTCCTCGAGATTTCGTGAGCGATTGCATTCGGAGAATTTACGGCCTCCGCATAAATATTTTCGCGCTCGAAGCAGCTTCGGCAACAAGCAATTAACCCGAGCCTTGTTCGTATCTTTACATAGCTCGATCGATACAATCGCGCCGGAAATGAAAGACGAATTCCGGACACGCCCGCGGTGAAAAACCGTCCCCACACAGCACATGAAAATTCATTTTCTCAACACAGAAGAATGCAGAGGAAATCAAAATCACTATCGCAGAAAACCATTCAGAATAAATAAGTTTAAATATTCGGAAAGCTAGGTCACATGACGAACAAAATAGTTGAGAATGCATCTACGGTAATTGCTACGACTCCAGTAATATTTCGTAGAAAAGTCAATTAGCACAATCGAACCAATACAACAGGGTTAAATCAATGCAATTTTCGTATGCTTGTTAATGTAAAATACCTTTCACGAAACTGCGAAAATACGATGCAATCATTCAGTAAAAGCGGGATGAGGGTATTCATCGAAAGCGAGGATTCATGAACTACTTTGAGAACGATGTTCGACAAATAATGATGCACAATGTCCACACGATATTTAATTCACGCATTAATGAATTCTTTTCACAAATAATTGAAAGATCAATATAAACGGATGTCAGCACCGTTAATAATTCAACGAGAGGAATTCACAAGGGTTTTTATATACAGTAGATTGAACACCAAGCTGAAGAAATTATTATGCACATCAGCAGTATCAAAATTACATACAAATCATCAGGAATAATTGAATGAAACTTTGGAGTACATGAGTTATTAGGGATGAGGAAGACACGCGGGGCATATCGATTTCACGAAAAGTTTCAAGGTTCACGAATACCCACCGTCCGCATATCATAAAATCGAAATCGCTCACAGCCATAAAGCCTATACAGATAAAGCATTCTTCACGGAATTACTGCACTTCAAAAACGAGACTGAATAAGCACACACACACACACACACAAACACCGAAACCGCGGCACTGATTTCATCGAAAGCGGACCCGAATCGATACAATCGCAAAGGTATCGATGAGCGGCACTGAACGCAGTAAATTCCCAACACTGCACGCGATTGAGCATCCACAGTTGCGTTTGGAAACGGAATGCTGTACGCGCGGGTCCCCGACGCGTAGATACGGCAGAGGGAAATCAAGGCACAGGCGTCATGCCTGAATTTCAGCCTTGGGGGCTTTCCCTTCCCAAACATAATGCTGCTTTGCTTGGGCTCCATCTCGTGCGCCCACGGGCGGGGTTCAGCACAGGAGAGACCCACACCTATAGCGCGCGCTCTCCGCAACCTTCATCCTTCCGTATGGCACACGGTGCGGCTGCTGCTGCAGATATGATGTTGCTACCCTGTTCACGTGGCCAGGGATAATTCCGCTGCTCGAATCGAACTCAGCGGACACCCCACCATACGACGATGTTGTGCAGCATCGCGTGAAGCAGACGTCGTCAACTTGTGCTCCGCGGAGCCCTCCGGCACGACCCTTAACCTATGCTCCGCGGAGCCCCTGATGTTTCGCACGGGGTCACCAGCAGGTGGCTCCGTAGTTGCTTCAAAAAATAAAGCTGACTAAAAATTCATTAAAGAAGCTTAAATGGAAGATTAATGCTTGATCAATTGACTTTCGCAGATTAACGTACACGCAACACGCTCTTGAGTCTGGAATTCGGGACAAAAAAATTTGCAATAACCCGACGAATATAATAAATTCTGATGGTTCCGCAATGAAAATTACTTACAAGTTGATGATTAAACTATAATAGCTTCACATACGAACCAGAAAAAAATTAAAGTAAATACTCACGGTGTTTAAATGTGTGAATAACAAGATAGGCGAGAAATTTTGATTTTATCTTTCTTCCGACATGGGGAAATTCTGTGCCTTCGCATAACTTGAACTTTCGGTCCAAGCTTTGCATAACGATTGATTTCAGAAAGAAAAAGGAATTATTTAATGTTCTGCGAGTCAAGGGGGTTCATGAACTCTCAGACCAAACCAGATTTATATGATTTTTATCACGCATCTATCGAAGATTAAAGCACGATATTTTTATTAATTAATAAAAAGGGAGGATTAACTGCTTGAAAAATTCGTTTCCATCAAAATACAATTAGAAAACCGTCTATCAAAATCATTTTCCACATCGTTATTTTCCTAAGAATGATTCTCGGCACGTTTAAAAAACAACTAGAGTGAGTACCTATTATGCATCAGATTCCTGAAATTCTCCCAGACACAAAACGTCTCACTGCAAGCAAACAACGAAAATGTCAAAATATGTATTAAAGATTTAATGATGGTGCCACATAACATGTGACAATTCAGATTTTGTACAAAAAGAAACTATCGGCTATTTTCTCTCAAGAATTCTCAAACTTTGAAATTCAGGTTATCGGCCAAGTCTTCTAGCTTCTCGGGATTTTTTCAAGTCAGTCGAGAATTGTACCAATGTATATCAGTTAGTTCGCCGCATGAAAATGAATTTCTCCACAGTTTTGTTTCACAGAGCCCATAAAGCAGTCAATTTACATGACGTAGCAACTTCAACTACAGTACCGTACTTCGTCCGAATTATTCCGTCGAAACTTTGAAATAAATGTTGACCTATTCACAGTCTCCGAGGGAAGCTGTAAATTTCCTTTAAAGATGAAATTCCTCATTCATTCCCAAATACAGTTCCTTAGTTACTCATATCAAATATGATCCAAAATTACTATTATTTCTCCAAAGTGAACAAATATCCCCTTAGGAGAATTCGTTTGCTCGAAAATGCACAGGTTGAGAACTTTTACGTTGAAATTTGACACTGAAATAATCCCGGAAAAAAGGAGTCCTCCCTATACAAATGTTTTCCATTTCATGCAGTCGATCACCTTGAAAATGAAAAATATTTAGAGGGAAATAAGGTAGAACAGTCGATTCCAGGCTAGGTTGAATAAGTGTTGAATCCCATTTGAGTTAGCTTGATTCCAAATTGAAATTAGCAGTTCAAAACTCTCAAGTACTAATACTGTACAAGTTCAACAAATCGTCTGCATTATGATTTGAATTCTAAAATGTCACGAACCGAAATTGAACATACTGAATCCACTGCTTCATGAAAAATGCGCTTGAAGACAGTGGTGAACTTTGGACAGCTAAACTTCAGAAAAATAAGCAAGCTACGTTTAACTGCTCTTGACCTTTTGTAGCGTGAAGATCAGACAAAATAAAAGGAACAGTCTCCTCGTTTTAGCGAGAAGATCCACTGCTTTCATTCTGTGAGACGAACGCATAAAAATAAAAAGCCGCCGAAGTTTCCTCAAATTTATGGCATGAAGAAGGACCGTTTTTTCTTCTTCTTGGGAATCAAATGAACGAACGAAAACAACTATATGCATGAACAAGCGTAATCACGTATGAACTGAAAATCATAGCCAACTACTAAATTATAAATATTTCAGCGCAATCATTGAAGAAGTTCATCATAATCCATCCAAATTCATTTTATACAATGCTTCAACTCCCAAGTATTTGAATTATAGTAAGATGCACGATAATTATAACTAATCGACAGAACCAACCAGCGAACGATCTCAAAACCGGACCGCCGAAAGAAAAACGAATTTCCCCGGGTTCCCTACGCAATAAGACGTCCACACTCACACTTGTGAGACACTACAGGCATAGAAATGTCGAGAGCATCCGTAACTTCGAAAATGGCTTCAAGAGATATGCTACACCAGAGCCCGATTCTCCTCAAAACCACCCACCCACACATACACCACAGGAAAAGTGCAGAGCTTTTGCATTACTCCAGTACGGCTAAAAAAAAACAATTCCGCTTCGCTCCAACTTCCTTTTCTTCACGCTCATGAAAAATAAAGCGGTTGGTTGGACCTCAGCAAATTGACTTCGGCTAAAGTCGTGCGTATACACACACACGCATTCCCCACCCACAGTAAATCAAAGGAATAACTTCCTCAACACGACCGATGAATCAATTTGCGAAGAATCGTTTTCGTCAGGAAACTGCGAGAGGGAAAATGGGATGAAGCGGATGCGAAATAAAATTTTAAACATCAAAAGTTCAATGTTTTCTTTTTTTTTAAACCCAGCGTTTGAGCCTGATCAACTCTGCGACGTCTCGGTGCTGCCGCTGCCGGATCCCGAGGACGTTTGCGCGATCAAACGCTCGACTGCGGCGTTCACGTCTCCAAACGTTGCTACGAGGGCGCGAAGATTGGCTTCTCGATTCACGAATCCCATGGCCAGCAACTGATCCAATTGTACTCTGTACCTCTGCTCTGGTGGTTGAGCAGATTCTCCGGGAGTCATGCTGTTCCGAATATAAAGTTTAAAAAAAGATTCAATTTACATCACAAGCTACGCATTACATTAAGTTACAAAGGTAATGTCATAAATGGCTTTTCAACCGGGGTTACAGTGCGTCAGGTCAGAAACTTGCCACGACGCATACGGAATAAACGATTTGGAAAATAACGGTGTAGAACAAGAAGTTCTACGAACACAGCTTCAGTCGAATCCTGCAGGCGGAGAGACTAGCTGAACGGCTGAAAAAATGCAGCATTCATGAACTCAGAACAAGTCTTCGAATGTAGTTGGTTAAGCACTATTCAAAGACAAAAATTGAAGCCAAGCATTTCCCAGATGCAAATTACTCTCCGAATTTGATGCTATGTTTGTTACATCCTTTCACGATCTTCCTCGGAAAAATATTTAATCATTCTATGCTCAGAAGTCACCGACGAATTTCCGTTTCTTGTCTGAACGCGTGACATTTTTTTTTTCTATTCATGAAGCCCGAATGTTTCTAAAATTACGAAGGATATACGCATGATACGGTATACATAATGTAATGGATATACGCAAAAATGCAAAATTTACCTAGCCCGGAGTGAAATTGAAAAAAAAAAACCAATGGGCGATACGCAACAATCTACATATCGAAGTTATTCAAATTTCGAAAAAACCGGAAATTGTCCTTACCTCGATAGTTGCTGAACCATGCGTGACATGAAATCAGCCATTTGCTGATTGTTTTCAGCAGCGGGGGTGCCAGGAGTAGGAGGATTAGCTAAAGATCCAGTCGTTGGGACGCGTACGGTTGGGGTTGCTGGTGGAGTGGGTAGCCCCATGCTTGAGGCAAAACCTGGTGCAGCCATTTGCAGTTGTTCGACTCCTCTTTGAATTTGTAAAATGGCTTCTAATGCCTGGTAAATTGATAAAGACGTTTACAGTGTACTGATAATACTTATCGTCGAAATTTAAAACTTAAATTAAATTACAGTATTAAAATAAATTAAAGTTAGTACAATAGCTGAATTAAATTAGTAAAATACTATATCTCGTTTACCTGAGGGTTGGTCATCATATTCACGACTTCGGGATTCCGCATTTGATTCAGAAAAGCTGGCATCATCTCTTGCGTTTGGGCCATTAATTCAGGATTGTTAGCAATCAAGGGGTTCGTTGAGAGCACTGTCCGCGCAAGATCTGGATTTGCAGACAACGCCTGCAACATGGCTTGCGTATGAGGCGCAGACATCATATTCTGAATCATCTGAGGATTCTCCATCATCTGCTGCATCATGCTCGTCATTGACGCGTTTGGAGACGCCTGAAAATAACCAAGAACCTTTAACAATTCGGTACACGGAGTCGATTTAATAAAAAAAAAAACGATCGTGAGTAGATCAACGTGATTTGACAAAAAAGAAAGTAAGCCGTGAACGCCAGAAGATTAAGATTTAGGAGAGAAAAATTAGGCCTTTCCTTTAATTGAAAACAAAAGGTTCGTCGGTGAACTTTTTGCAAACACGTTGAAAACAGCAGGAAGAAATGACTCTGAAATAATGGGCAGACCGTTGCCAACTGAAATTTATTCCTATCTACACTTCAAGAATTGGTCTGCTACCTTTTCAAATCATCGTAAATTTGGTACTTTCCTGTTATCTCAGTACCCATTTTTCTTTGTCTTGTGAATTCAGTATTTGTTAGGTTAGGTCAGGTCAGGTTATGTTAATTGAAATATATTTGTAACTAACATAACCTGACCTAACCACCTCCCAAAATCAGTTACTGCTTTCTTTGGGTTTCTGCTGAAACTGATTTTGGGAGGCAGTTAGGTAAAGTTAGGTCAGGTCAAGTTATGTTCATTAAAAGATATTTGTAACTAACATAACCTGACCTAACCTAACTTTCCGTGCACCCACCGGAAACTGTGAATTTCATATTTCCACATTCTGCTGAAACTGATTTTGGGAGGGAGTGAGGTAAAGTTAGGGTAGGTCAGGTAAACTGATTTTGGGAGGTGGTTAGGTAAAGTTAGGTTAGGTCAGGTTATGTTAGTTACAAATATCTTTTAATGAACATAACTTGACCTGACCTAACTTTACCTAACCACCTCCCAAAATCAGTTTCAGCAGAATGTGGAAATATGAAATTCACAGTTTCCGGTAGGTGCACGGAAAGTAGGTACTGAGATAACAGGAAAGTACCGTAAAGGTAAAACATTATTTCGAGTAAATTTAAGTACGTACACTTGGTTGAGAAGGAGTGCTCCCGCCTTGCTCCGATGCTGGGCTGGTTGAAGATGACCAGGGATTGGGCATAGGGGCGTTTGAATTCCGTTCACCCGTTTGTCCACCCCGATTCGCACCGAGCAAACCGGAGAAGGGGTTGCTTCCGAGTTGCTCCTGAGCAGCAGACATGATGGGTTCTTGAATATCCGTATACATTCGCCGCAATGCAGAGTAACCACCAGGAGTAGATTCCAAATTTGAAACGACCCGATCTTGGTTTCTCATCAGTTCTTGAAGCGCAGCCGGATTCCGGGCAAGTTCCATGCTTTGACGAAGGATCTCAGGGTTGTTCAACATGTGACTGATTTCTGGATTTCGCTCCATTATTGACTGCATTTGCGGATTCGCTATTTAAAAAAACAGTACAGTATTGTAAGGACGAAAACTGAAACATCACCGTGAGAAAACAGCATGCTTACAAGCTATCATTTGACGCATGAACTCGGGGTTGTTCATCAAACTACTGATCATTGGATTGTCCATCATCTGCCGAATCATCTCAGGATTGTTGGTCAACATCCCTTGCATTCGCTGTTGCATTTCCAGAAAATTCGTCGACCCCATTCCCATTGATCCAATGCCCGACAAGCCACCAAGCGAACCAAGACCGAAAGGAGTTGCACCGATATCGGCCGGTGTTCGACGTGGGGAAGGTGTGTCTGATGCTGAAGGCGCAGTAACGGACTTGATGACGAGGTGAACAGTAACACCATCTTTGATACTACTCGAAGATAGCTTATCGGCATCCTTCAGGATTTTCCCAGCGAAAATCAGACAAATCTGACTTTTGTTCGGATTATTGAACTTCTTCGCAACTTCATCCTTCAAATCTTCCACGGATGCATCCGCGGAAATTTCAACCGTTTGCTTCTCTTTCGGCGTTTTGATCACGATTTGCATCTTTCCTTCCGCTGCCTCCGCGCCCCCACTCGCATTTTCGTCCGACATATTACTCCGAAACCTCTTGGGAAAATTCAACAATCTCGAATTCAGAGAAAAATAACGTATGCTAGTTAGTTGATCCCGCGCATGTAACGACGAACTCTTCCATCGAAAACCGAGTCCCTCTACACAGTACTCGATTATTCATATCAGGATGAAACACTTAACCGTCAAGAGTTTCTTCAAAAGGTTCCTCCGATAGTTGGAACACCCGGTCAACCAGATCCTTTGCGTAAGCTGATTAATACTGAATAATAAGGTTTCACATAACTTCATAAACCTTTTCATCTACACGACTTTTATCGGTACCACTTCTTACATCGATATAATATCTCACCGGCAGCCTTTTCTTGAATCGTTGGCATGTTATCTAAGGTCAAGCAATGCTAATCACTATGACACGTGCGAGAACCGCATGTTATTCTAGCATAAGCTAACGCGTCGTGTAACACAGAATCTGAATAACCGGCGATCTAACGCTGACGCAGTGAACATCACAGCAACCAATCACACCGAAATCGCCTTCATAATTGCAATTAATGACCTTGTAAAACAGCTACAAAAATTTATATAACTAGCAATATTTCAGGAGTAGACTCCTTTCCTGGCTTTGCACATATTTTCTATCTTCTGCTTTGCCACAATCCATAAAGATCATCTCGCGAACGCCAGTGAGACACTGTTATCCGCACGATACATTTACGTCTGTTCTAGCCTCACCACAGTAAAACTCGTGCATGAATTTTTTTCAAGTAGGCAAATTGTACGTAAAATCAATTACTGGACCCTGTACAGCAATGTTGATCAATATCTTATCTCAATTGTAAAACGTATGAGCATGCTGCATGTTTATGGAAGCTGATGATAGATGAAATTATGAACTATCATTATATTCGAAGATAAATTACTGCATAATATCTTTTGCCAACACGTGTACATCATACCAGTTATGTGCAGCGTTATATTGATTTCCAGGAACTTGAAGTGATGGAGGCATTCTGTTACATAAGTATTCCTTAACCAATCCCATTGACGATTCCAAGAGCCTTTATTTTCATTTTCCAATTGAGAAATAAGCCAAAGCAAACATGGCCAAATCAGCACATTATTAAATGAGCGAAGGCTCAACACAGCCCTCGCAGATGAACAGAAGTGCAAGATAAGTTACAGTACATTTGGAATTTAAAGATGGAGCTCCAAAATTATGCTTCAATATTTTCCTCAGGTAACAAATATCAAGCTCCCTACTCCTTGGATTTGAATTTTTAAATCTGCTGAAAATTAAAATGCAATGAGGATACGCATTGAAGAAAAAACAGAGGCTTTTCTTCATGTGGTATAGATCTTGTAAACTGAATACATCCAACCACCAGCAGTATTGTATTCGAATACAGTATTGGTCCTGAGCGAAGTGAACAGTAGAAATGATAAATACTGTATACGGTAATCCCTCGTCAAAACTGATCAGTTTTTCGCATGGCAAATATGAACCAAAACTTTACAGATCATTTTCCTACAAAGAAGAAAATGATCAACCCGCAACAAACTTAATTCTAAGAATGAACATTTTAATCCTTCAAATTTGACCCAAAGCGATAACTGCATCATCTTTATTGCCAGCCTGCGATCCTGTTTGATGCATAATATATATACAGAAAGAAATTACGAGAGCTGTTCTGTATATTTTTGAAGTTGTTCATATACAAGAGCAGGCGATTATTTGACAAAAAGCATGCTTTTGTGACGCATTGAATTTTCCCATGCATATACTGTAGTTAGTTAGGCGAAAATTCAAGTTCCAGGGTTTCAATAAAGTCATCATCATGCATCACAAATGCTAACACAAGAAGATGAAAGAAGCACTTTGTTTAATATGCGAAAAACCAAAAGGTTTCAATTTATAAACTTTTTATATGCACATTGAAAATACTCAATTAACTGCTGTCAGTGTCCAGAATTATCGAAAGAAAACCAACGGAATTATACGCATCATAATTTTAATTACACACGCGTATTTTCTCACATCAGATTTTCACTATCTTGAGTTCGGCATTCATGCTGAATTTCTCAGTTGGCAAAGTTCTGTTACGAACGGTTGTAGTTGAGGTCTTCTTGCCTGAAATTGATTTTGTCGTTACGAAAATTCCGTCAGGACGCGAGTAAGCATCAACTGGTACAAACACTCCTTGGTTATCTGCCTGGAATGTGTAACCACGATGTTTTTTTGTGGCTTGAAAAATCCTGGTTGTGGTGCTCCTTGGGAAGCCGGTGATTTCATTCACTTCAGCAGCCATCTTCTTAAGGTCAGAACCTGCAGTAATTTCATTACGGAGATTTTTCATATGTCTTAATAATGAGATTTGCCACACCCAAGCATCTCGGCCGGGTAGGGTAACTGAGAAAATACTTTAAAAGAGAAAATCCCATGGGCCTGAAAATCTCGCAGGGTACGAAAATTCCGCGGGAACCAAAATCCCGTGGATCACAAAATTGTGAAAGTGTGCCTTTGGTTATCCTTGGGCTTTCCTTCCAACCTTTTTGAAAGATTAAAATTACCTTTTTCGAGAGGAAGGTCAAGAGGAAACCTGAGAAATATGTAGCCTCCATTTGGAGCTTTAATCCCTTCATTTGCTTTGTATATGAACTGTGTACTTTTCCACCGACTTACACAGATGAACTTAGCCTCCTCAAGGGAGAAATACATAGAAATTTGCTTTAAATACAAAATATATTTTATTTCATTGAGTATGAAGGCAGTATAAGAATTCAGAGGGGCGCTAATTGAAAACCTTTATCGTAAACTAGATTAATTTATACCTGAGGATTCGCGAAGAAGAGGCGTCTGGGACGAAGCCGGAACGTTGGGCTTAGTTATTCGATTCTGGATCACGACGATGGTTTTCAAATTATTCATTTGCTCAGTGTCAACAGTGGTTACGTTTCCGAGGGACTTGAATCCGCTTCCATCTTGTTTATCCACAAGCACGACTTGAGACGGGAAAGTCGTGGGTCCTGCGCATTTGTGAGGTGAAACGCAATACGCGAATGCTCCAGATCCTCCGGTCGTCGTAGTTTCAACAGAAGCGCTGCTGGAAACCACGGATCCCAAAAGCGGGTGCTGCTGTTGATTCGCAGCTTTGAAACCCTCTGACAAGTCCGAAACTCGATCAAGGCGAGCCTTAATTTTTTCCAACGACGGTTTGCGGTTAGGGTATTGTTTCAACCAGCCATTCAACGGTTGCCAGCCGTAATTATAGCCCAGAAAGTTCGGCCAGATATGTATGTTCAGCGGGGGTTCTTCTTTCCCTTTTGGCTTCGTTCTTCCCCTGCCGTATTTCTTAGGATTTCTGCAGAATATACGAGCTCAAGGACACACAATAACCTTGTCAAGTCAATAATAAAAACAGTTTCTAAAAAGGAGAAAACTTTCGGATCACCGTCTTAGAGCGGCATCGATCAATACAAATAAGTATACTGTAGTTGAACCCCTAGGTGTACAGTAGTCTTTCAAGTCCTCCTCTGAATTCGCTTAGAAACCATGCATCAAAAATCTCTCTATAGCTCAAAGGCTTTTCCTCTCAGACCTACATTGGTAAAGTTTTCTGAGGCCTTTCGGGCATTATTTTCTTGACACAGGAAAGAGAAAAGCAATAAAAAAGTAACTTGATGTGTTCTGAAAGTAAGCAAAAGACTAATTGGGCAAATAAACCCTTGCCTGCATTCAGCATCCTGTCAACTCATTTAAAACTCAATTTAAGGCCCAGAATCTTTCCATTTCCAGCAATTCTTAAATATATTTCCCACGATTGAAAGGCATGTTTCCCCAACTCGAATTTTTTGCTGGTCCCTTGAATTTTAGAGACGAGGTTAGACTTCTCAAAAAATGTGAAATTTAAGCACATTATATTGTGTGACATATACACCAAGGATACAACACCTATAAAATTGAAAATCAATTTAAGGCCCCGATTTGTTCAGCGTATAAAGATAAAGCGTTGATCCAAGTTCCTATCAAATTATTTGTTAGGAACTTGGATCAACACTTTTCTATTAAAAATATTTTTCTTTCTGGTAAATCCTGCGTCTCATGTTCTAGAATACTAGATTTTTTCCGAGTCTAAGTATTTTAGACGCTGCCCGTGCAGAAATTTCAGCGCGTGAAATCTTATTTGCATATTTCGTAATATTTTCAGCTACACTCGAAATTTTTCGCCTCAAGGTTCCCCGAAGTATTTTCCAATGCAATGATAAACGCATTTTTATTCTTTTTTCTTCCATCTGAATATTTTATAAGAAGACCTTCGCTTTAAAAAAAACACATTTTGGGAAAAATAAAATTGAAGATGCGCCGCATCAAAGAGGCATCTACCCAATTTTACTCACTGGACGAAGTGTGCAACGTGATCTGAGTTGTGAACGCGGTTTAACGTTTTCTCTAAACTTGATTCCAACGGTCGTTGGGTTCTCCATGAAGGCAGACGTTTCATTCCAACTTCATAATCCTCCACCAACGGCATCTGCTCATCGTAACCATTCTGAGGCAAATACCTTGGGTCAGAAGGCATCAGCAGTCGGTCATTCTCTCCTTCGTAATTGGTATCATAAGCATTTTCCGGAGGTGGGGCCCAAACTGGAAAATCGTGCGGGTATTCGGCGAATTTTTCGCGTTGCACTGCAGAGTCCTGTTCGCCCAAAAATTCTTCTTTTTCCGCGTGCAGACGCAACGGCCTCGGGGTAGTGGGGCCAAGTTTTTTGCGTAAGGCACCAGACCGGAAGTGGTGTTCTTTCATGTTCCGCAACAAAGGGGAGCGATAAGTCACCCTATCTTCGATGCGTGATTGTCTTGGATCATTCGACATACTTTTTCGATATCCATCGTCCTAAAGGAATTCATCTATACATAGTCATTAATGCTTTTGCCAATTCGGCATTTCTTTGATAAAATAAAAGTAGAAGAAAATCATATGCATCGTGCTTTCATAATCGGGGCATTGAAAAAAGCAAGATGGCTTTTATATAATTGCTCAACTTTGAAAATAAAATACAGTAAATAATAAAAACCAATGCAAATTTTTTATTCATAAAATTGAAGATTAAAATTTTGGGCAAAGTTTTCAGTTCTGCACTGAACTGCGCAGTTATTTATCCCGAAATTACAACCGTTGACCAAGTTTTAGAAAGGCACATACAAGGTAAGTTATCAGCTTTAACATTTTCAAACAAGGTAAATTCGATTTCCTTGTAAATAATGCCTTTATCCCGTGGCATTAGTACAATAGAAATGACCTCCACGGTCATTGTTTTCAACGCCTGTCCATCAAGGGGAAAGTTACCAGATATTTTATCCTCTTTGCAAAAATACTCTCCATTTTCCCAAATTCCAGCAGAATGAATTTTTCACAGTTTGTTAAAAAAGACTGCTAATATCGAAGGTATGGATTTTAGGCCATATATAGTTTGAAATTACATTCAAGTATATTACGCACAAAACCCATTACTTGCATTACAGGAGTTATTGTCGAGATCATCCATTCCTAGTTTCCACATTTTTGACGATGAGAGAAATTAGGGCTGTCGTATAAAATGACTTGTCAGTTGAAACATCTGCTGAACTTTTCAAACTCTAAAGGAATCCACGAGCGAAGTTAAAAAAGTAATATACTGTATTTTACATGGCTTTTTTCCCAAGTTTTCAGAAGAAATTCAACTTTGGAAACTCTTAACTTTTGTTTGAGTAAAATATACGAGTTCGTTGGTCTTCATTCCCTCTTCATATTTTTCACGAATCGGTATGTATATAAATATGCACAAAAAGGTAAACTCGAATATAAGGCTACGAAAGAAGAACTTCCTAGCTCAAAAGCTTGGCTTATGCTCGCACAGTAAAGAAATCCTGCTTCTTTTCGTCCTTGAAGATATGCTAGAACATTTCTTGGATTAATAAAATTCAAAAAAAAATTCAAAGGCTTACATTACCGAATAATCAGCATCACGTGGACTGCCCTGGAACTTATTCTTCGAGTAAGAAGTTTTGTCTTCGTCAAATGCTGGAGATTTCGGATGCGATTCAATTCTCCTCGATTGCGCTTGCTTGAATTTATCCGGAACCGGCCGTCTCCAAGACTTGGTAGTCAGAACCAAACCACGTGGAAAACACTGATACGAATCATCGCCATCGTCAAGATCGTACTCTTTTTCAGCCCCAGCAGGTCCTTCACGAACACTTCTCGGAACTACCTCAGAATCATTCTTCCGACCGGTTTCATTGGCGGAAAGAAATTTCCTCGCGTTTTCTACGCTGATTCGATGAGCTGAATGCATTCACAAAACAAGACAACAAGGTATTTATCACACATTCATTCGGGGATGTGGACTTACAATGCACTTGGTCGACTGAAACAACCGACAAAAGTGCAGCGCAAAGCACGACTGCCGCTGCGCAGGTCATCCTCGCTCCAAACAACGATCTGCTTTTCCTTCCTTGTGTTCTATAAAAGTATTTTTCGTTTACATGTCTCGAAAATCCCGTAGTGGATCAGCAATAAAAATTCCACGAGCTCGACGCGGATTAAGTCAACATCAGTCGGCACTTCTTTCACGACTTCCGAAGACACAACGTCGAAAAAAATAAGAATCCATCCTATCTCAGTAAACATCGTTTAGAAAACTTCGTCCAGGAAGAAAAGATGAATCAACTCCAAAAGAAACAATCATTAATCAGCTTAATGTTTTGACAAATAAAACGATGCGACTTTGTTATTCGTGATTGAAGAGGCGGCGGCTTTTCGCACGCGACATCAACAAACCCAAAGTCTATATTGAATTGTATCGCGCGTTTAAAATGATACGGAGATTTTTCATGAGTTTTCTCTGCATTCTGCAATAAAATTGTAAGTCTTCAAAAAACTGGGGGATCAATAAAAAAAATTGTAAGCCCCGGTAAACTTGACGATATTTTTAATTGGAGCTCTGAAATGTGCAACTTGTTCAAAAATAAAAATTTTGGGGAAACTTCCCATTCAGTATCACAATCAAAACAAGATCAGAAATTCTTGTATGGTAACATATCTGTAATATCTGGGATATTGATACGGCGTTCAGAAAATTTTACGATCATAAAAAAAAAATTTGTTATTTTCAGGACTGCCTTAAAACTAATAGAACATGAAAGGCTGACAAGTAAACTTAATTTTCTCATGCTGATCAATTTGGGAAATGGACAATTCCCCCGCCTCTATTCCCCCCGCTCTAAAATCCCCGACATTTATTCCCCCCGGTGTCTAATTGCCCCAAAATAAAAATCCCCATTTACTAAAATCCCCCAAAATGCAAAATCCCCAAATATACAAAATATCACCAAAAGTGAAAAAAATTTGGCCAAAATTGGATTATTTTTGTATGCTGTGGTGTTTCAAGTTTTCTGAAGGTCAGAAAAGACCTTCCAGGTGGGCTGAGGCAAAGTTGGGATTAATCGAAGAAAAAGTCCATTCCTTAGCATAGGATTTCTTTCATTTTCCCACGAAATTTTTCTGTGCAAAAAGAAAAAAAAATTGGATTTTTCATCCTCAAATCCTTTTTCTACCCTGAGGTGAGCAGAAGAAGAGGGATGCCAACGTGAAGAATCTGTGTCCATTGTTCAACAGGCACAAAATTAGTCTGGAAAAATTTTTGAAGGAAACAGCTAAAGCAGTGAAACTG